TAACCCCAGAACCACACGCATCTTCTTCTCTACTCTCCGTCGCCCTCTTCATTCTTATCCTAGTCCTCGTCCTACTTCACTGTTCAATACTCACTCCAACATCTCCTCGTCGAAACCCATCATTATCCCCGCACTTAAGCGTGGTTTCCGTGGTGAAATTGTAGCCATGGCTGCTCCTGGATCTGTTCAGAAATCGGAGGAAGAGTGGCGTGCTGTTCTCTCCCCTGAACAGTTTCATATTCTCAGACAAAAGGGCACTGAGTAAGATTATTTTCCTTATTGGGATGGCATGAATTATGCTAATTTTCTGCCTTAATGTGTTTGGATTTTGATTTTTCTTTCTTTGTTTTGAGTTGAATTGAAGATTTTGAAATTTCGATGGACTTGTTCGGCAATTCGGGTTAATTTTGAGAATGAACGTATGATTAAGATTAAGAGATTGTTTTCAGTGACTAATTTCGGAATTAAGGCGTTTTACTGGTTTTTATTATTGTTACTTATGGACATTATGATTCAGGGAAGACAGATAAACAGAGATTTAACCTTCGGCTATGTTTGATCTTCAAAACTTAATGTCCAATTTTGAGTTATATCTTGTGTTAAGAAGATGGAGGTGTCCCAATCGACGGTGATGAAGAAGTGTTTTACTCTAAGAAAACTCGCAGGCTCCGTAAGAGAGGATTTTACTTTCAACTTCCAGATTGATAGTTACATTAGTTTCTTGACATGAGTTAGTATCTGGTTAATCATTTCTGACCACAATGCTACTTTTGCTTTTATTTTTTTCTTTCTTTAACATAAGAAAGGTAGAATTCCTAGTTCACTGTCCGGTATATCTGACACCATACTGATACTGTTCTCTATGAGAAACTTTCGAATCTATGGAAACCTTCGCACATTTTCTTAAACGAGAAATTTGTGGAGAACACTGTTAGGGGAACACCTTTTTTCTTGTATTTTTTTTTGGGGTTAATTTTGCATAGAATGGAATGAAGTGGCACAACCAAGAAGCTCAAGCCATTGTTTGGAAGAATTGTTTAGGAGGGAGAGGAATGGCAAGGGATGGCTTCCTGGGTCATCCTAAACCCAATTTTTCTCATCCCAAACTTGGAGGTCCAGGATGGAATGATTGGGGGAATAAATATTCAATTACAAGAATGCTTCTACACCTGTAAGGTGAAAATGTATATTTTCACTTCCAAAACAAAGCTCCCCTCTCTGACTCTTTCACTTGCCATCACCACCTCTTCCCCTCTCCAACTTCTAGTTTGATCGATGCTTGCTGAGAAACTAGTGAAAGAAAATATGCATTTTTTAATTTGTTGAACTGTTTCATTGGAATCTAGATATGAATGAGTACTTAGTTTTAAGTCGATTGGATCATACATTTAGAAGGCAGCATCCCATCCCATGATGGTCTGGGAGATGATTTACCGACTAAAGGTGTATGAGGAAGTGGAGAAGCTCCACGAGTTCTGCATTAATATTCAATCAAAGAGTATAGTGTTGAGAAATTTGATTTGGCCTTACATGGAAGCAACCTATTCTTTGGTCAAGCCCTGATACTCCTTTAATTACAGTGGAATGAACATAATTCACCATTGTATTCCACTCCATTCTAGTAATGAATATCCCATCCCATCCGATCCCATCTTATAATCCCAAACACTTTCTAGGGCTTCATAAAATTGGCCTTCTGTTCTCTAATCATCCTTATACGATGTGGTTTACTCGCCTTCTAGTTTTTCTACTTACATGCAACATCTTGTCTTGTCACTTTGATTTCTGAGTCATGATTAATTTATATAGTCATTTGGTATGCAGAATACAAAAGAAATGAAAGCAAAGATAATTGAAATAAAAGTAATTATATGTATAGCAAATATCGCTGTCGTCTTTACATATGATAATAAAAAGGGAGAATTGCTGTCAAATGACAATGATATAATTAACATTATATATATATATATATATTACTTTTTGTGCAATAAAAGCAGCACATCTTTGAAATGGTTCAACCAGATGGGGCCGAATAGAGGGGAAATGAATGAGAAGATATGGAAATAATTTGCCAACTTCATTGGGTGATAATACTCGAGATGGGTAATTAGCCTTCATGTTATCAAGAAGATGGTTTTGTATTATGCAGGTATCCAGGAACAGGAGAATATGACAAGTTCTTTGATGAGGGAATCTACAACTGTGCAGGTTGTGGCACTCCTCTCTACAAGTCCACAACGAAATTTAATTCTGGGTGTGGCTGGCCTGCCTTCTATGAGGGTCTTCCAGGAGCCATAAATCGCACGGTGAGTTAACCCTTTTTCTGGTTTGCGCTCTTTGCCTTTGCTGTTATGTTTATGGCCTCATTGCTCTTTTAGGCCCTCTAGTTTTATAAATGAAGCAATTTAATCGTATTTTCAATAAGAGCAGTCTATTGGAAGCTCAAGTTTTTGTTTAACCTGGTCAAGTAGAGCAATGCTTTTCTTATAGCTGTTATTACTTGTTTATTCATCAGAGCTATTTTGTCTCTCTTTCTAATTATTAAATTAAAGCAACTAAAATTATTAAAAATACTAATTAAAATGTGGTGGTTTTAAATTTCCACTATGCCTCAAAATTGCAGTAACAGTGATAAAGATTGATCTAACGTAACATTTATAGGAGAGGTAGTGAAACTTTTGGTCCTTCAAAATTTGCCTCAGTTATTAATTTGGTCCCAGAATTTTAATGTTTACTAATCAAGTCTCTAAAGATTCATGACGATAAACAATTAATCTTTATGGTCTAAAAGGGAAATAACATCACTAGGATTAATTGTGTATGGTTATGGAACTTTAAATATTTGATTGATAAGTATTGAACTTCTGGAATTAAATCAAAAACTGAAGCAAACTTGGAGGACCAAAAGTTTCATTGTCCCTTTATAATATACAGAATGTCTACATGTGTGATTGTTAAATTGGGGAAGCAATTGAGGCTGATGCGATTGTGATATTTTGAATGCATGAAACAGCCGGACCCAGATGGAATGAGGATAGAGATAACATGTGCAGCATGTGGGGGGCATCTGGGTCATGTTTTTAAAAATGAAGGATTCCCAACTCCTACCAATGAACGCCACTGTGTGAATAGCATTTCACTCAAGTTTGTGCCCGCCAATTCTTCTTAATGTTAGCAGCCATATGTATCACCAATGCGTGTTCTAAATTCCATAAGATGATTATGCAATGCACTCAGACTGCAACTTAGCTCCATTGACTAATGACTACATACATAGTTATGAATGTGCTGTTCCTCAAATACAAATGAGCTGTTCTTTTAGTTCATATTTGAGTATGTGTCAGATTCAGATATAAGTATCTTTCCCCAGGTTTTTTTTTTAACATTATTTATTTTTTTGCAATAATAAGATTATAGCACTTAGTTTTGTAATGAATTTGTGGATGTTGAGAAAGGATGACAAACCTCCACCTTTTCTGAGAGGCTTCCATGCTAAAGACAGGGAGTAGTGGCCATTTGCATATACATGTAGCAAAGTATTTGTTGTCTTCCAAAAACTATTAGAAGGACTCCAGAATTGTATTTTTCTCTTCTTGTAGTCACACAACTTGGCAACTATACTTCACAATTTGGAATTAACTTCTTTATAATTTATAACTAGTATGATTTTTTGTGATGATTTGTGATGATATGACGGTTAGTTCCTAAACTTTTTTCAATTATCGATTTATTCATTGAATTATAACTCAACACAACTTAACCTTTTAGTTTATGAGATTAAGAAATTATGGAGGATGAGTTATACTAAGTCAAATTATTATAAGGAATGAGCTATTCTTAATGAAAAGACTATAGAGATTGAGTTATAATGTGTTGAAGTTTAAGAATTGAATTGACAATTGAGAAAAAAATTGAGGAACTAAAATTTATATTTTCTGCAATTTTTTTAATGATATTTATATAGAAAGACATATTTATTTATGTACTCTCTTCGGTTCTTAGAGGGTAATTTTTTGAAAAAAAAGTTTTAGCCCTAATATATGATGTATGGAGGGTTATTCGTTATCATTTTTAAATTTTATTTTTATTGTAAATTTAATTTTATAGTTCATTGTATATTATGCATCTCTTTATTTTTAATAAGGGTAAAGTTAATTTTTTTATTTTAAGACATTGAATTTAATAAGTTAACTATCATTCTTAGATTCCATTAAAAAATTAAAAGCATCTTATAATAAGAATAGAGAGCATGAAGCAACAGACTGAGAGGTTGAAGAAAAACTTGAAGAGTTTAAAAATTGTGTTGTTTATTGTGGAGGAGTATTTGAATGTAGTGGAATGTGGGTGTCACCATTTCTGTTGTACTTACTGATTAAGTAGGAATATTTGGAAGTAGTGGAATGTAATGAAGTAGGTAGGTGAACCATTTTCTTTGTTAGAATCTTTTGTTGTATTGTAATAGTGACATATAAAGTGGATAGATGGGCCACTTTTACTGTAATTTATGAAACCATTATTATGGAATCAAGATAAGCTTTGCTGCTATCTCGCGTCACTTTTTCTGTCATTTTTTTTCTTCTTGTTGTCACTTAATATGACCCCTCACACGCTACACACACATTACCTACTGGTATTGCACAAAAGCTGCTAGTAATGTGAAAAATGCATTGGAAACCCTATTGTCATGTTAAACTTGTTGTCATTTATGCAATTTGCTGTCACAAGACCCATACTATTGACAAAATAATATATTTTTACTGTCACAATATTATATGTTTGTAAAGACACATGTTATAGTGTTGGGACCACATTTTGCATTTGAAGAGAGGGACAACAATTAAAAATCCCCCTCATGAACAGCAAAGTAAATATAAATACCATCCAGAGTCATTTACTATTTAGGATGCTGTCTTTCTTTTGCTGTCGCAAATATAAGAAACCAAAAAATATGAAACCAAGTGAAAGTAAAATAGTATATTCGAACTACTTGACGAAAGACATTAGCAACAAAACTCATCTTTCTTTCATAATAATAGTTTCATAAATTACAATAACAGTGGTCTATCTACCTACGTCATATTCCACTACTTTTTAGTACATTCCACTACTTTTAGTACAATAAAAGATACATGATAGCCACTAATAAACAACACAATCTTTAAGCTCTATAAATTTATCTTCAACCTCTCAATCTCTTTCACCATGCCCTCATTCTCTTGTTTCAAGTGTGCTTTGTCTTCTTTCAAATGTTGTTTCTCTTCCTTCATGCTCTCCTTCTCTTTGTTTTCCTTCATGCTCTCATTCTCTTCTTAGTACTTTTCAAGAATCAATACTTCCACCAAACCATATTGCTGCCACTAAGTCTTGCATCATTTTAGAATAAAAGCTTGGGGGTTCTATAGGCACACAACCTACCATTGCAATTCTGTTAAACATACATGAAATCAGATTATCAGAATGTGTTTGGGGTTACAGCCCATCTAGAGAGGGAACCATTTTCAAGAGAAGAAAAATTCAATGAGTGAACCTATCAAAATATACCAAGTAATTATTATCCTAAAATAAAATTAGACTATAACTATGAAGTTCATAAAATTACACTATGACCTATCAAATTCAAAGCAACTAGTCGAACAAAGATGTAGTTTGGGCATCTTATGTTTTGTAACATAAGAATCAAAGCAAGCAAGCATTTCGAATGAAACTATGGGAAGTAACTAGTAAGCAGCCATTTGAATACTAATCCATGAATTCTAGGTCCTCTTTCTGATGAATGAGATCAACTGGCTGCATGAAGACAAAGTCGAATCGCCCTAACACTCAAAGACGAAGTTGGATCACCCAATCGCTTTGTGCAGAACTCAAATCCCTAATTTTCGAAATCACTCTCATGGGTGAAATGAGATCCCTAATCACCTTCTTGCTTTATGTTGAATGAAGATCAAGGTGAAGCTCCCTAATGAATGATGATCCCAAATCTCATCAGGCTGCCTTCGAAGTTCCTGAGTTTCCTAGTTTAAAAAAAAAAACAAAAAAAAAAACAAGAGCTAAGATACAAATCTACTCTCAAAGTTTCCATTCAGGCGCATCTGATATCCTTAAATATATTTTGGTGCAATTTCATCCTAATGTTTTTCAAAATAGTACAATGTCACCCTAAACTAATAGATCCAAACACTTGACCATTTAGTTGACTTATTTTGCTTAATTCCATGCTGACGTGGCATATTTTTAAAAATTAAAAATTTAAAAAAAAGGAAAAGGAAAAACACATACACCTTGGCAAATGCTTCATCTCCCTTATACCTTGCCGGATGTCAGTCAAGAATTGAAAACCCAGATCCAGAACATGAGGCTTTCTAAAACATCTAAGAGCAGGCAAAAACACAAGAAACTAAACCCCAGATCAAGAATTCAAGTTCTCTTCATATGAACCAGGCAGAGAGTTAGCAAAATTTATGCCAAAAAGACCATTGACACACATCCAGCCACGCCAAAATCCAAGTGATGAAGCCAAGGAGATGTAACTTCAATGAAGATTGGGTTAATTTAAAAAGATCGAACCCAGAAATATATCAAAGCAGAAACTAGAATAAATCAAACCTAAAGATATAAAAAATCATTACAAGATTAATCTAAAACAAAAAATCTGAAGACAAATTAGAAAACCATAATCTCATAACTATAATACAATACAAACTATTGGTCTCAATAAAAAGTCAACGCTTTGAATTTGACGAACTTGAATCGTGCTTAAGCTCTTCCTTCCCCTCCAAGCCCATACCGCTCTACAAGTAAAAATCAAGGCTTTGAATTCCATTCCCCTCCCACACTTAAGGCTATGCTCGGGCTCTTCCATCACGCGAGGACGTCAACGAATTCAAGGGTGTGAGATTTGGGTTTTGGTTAAACCCTTTTCTAGGTTTTATAGAAGAAGATTACTGAAGAACAGGGCAACAGAAGGAATGAAGAAAATGAACTAGTAATCATGATGTGAACAACTTCCTCGGCATCGATGGAAAAAAGCCAATCGCATCCCAACTCCGAGCCTTGCTGCTCTTATGGTCTATTAACAAAGTTCAAGTCAGAAATTGCATGTCAATCATAGCCTTAGAGTCTGAAATTCACGAAAGGATTTGATGGCGAGACAAACCAGACTAATAGATGGACGTGAACGAATGGATCTGATTGATTCCTTCCCCTCTATATTTACAAATGATGTGCTAGCTCATATCGACAGTGATATGATGATGAGGTGGAGGAGGATGAAGACGAAGAGGGGGAGGGTTCATGTGGGTTTGGAATTTTGGCTGTGACTAGAATATGGGCTTGGAGGAAGGGAAGAAGGACTTCCTTTTCTTCTCTCTTTTTTTTTCACTTTTTTATCTCCATTTTTTATTAATTTCATTTTTAAAAAAATTTATTTAATAAAATAATATAACAGTGCAGATGGAAAAGTAAAAAAAAAAAAAAAAAAAAGGAGATTCCCTCTCCCTTGGAAGAGAGGAGTGAGGGGGGCAACTGGTAGAAGAGATGAGGAAAGAGAATTATATGTGGAAGCTGATGTGGCAAGTTAACAAACTATTAACAGTCAAAATTTTTAACTTAATAGTCAACTGATCAAATTTTAATAATAGGGCGAGATTGCACCAACTTAAAAAATGTTGGGGATGACATTACGTAAAAAAGTACTTAAGAATATCAGGTGTGCCTGAGTGATAACTTTAAAAATAAATTTATACTTTAACCTATAAAAAAAAGTTCCTGAGTTTCAAGGTTCAATGTTAACGCCTTCTGTGTTCTGCAAGTCCCTCAAGGGATTTCAAAAACATTTAAGGGGTAACCTGTTTAACGAAGGAAACTTAAAGGAGAGAATAAAGAAAAAATATAGGTACCAAATTAAAAACTGAAGAAAATTATAGGTACCAACAAAATGGATTTCCCTAAATAATACTATTTATAACTTATAAACAGCGTGTTTGCTCATTGGTTTGGCTATTATAATATCTTCTAGGACAATGTTTAGCTATTCTAATATAAAGGATTCACGTTCTAAAAGAGTAGAAAAAATTATTTATTTGATTTCTGTAATTTTAATTCAGTTAAAAGAATTTTTTAATTTTAAATTTATATGATTTAATTTTTATAATTTTAGTCATTTAAAATGTTGGTTCCTATATTTTAGAAAATAAAATTATAAAAATTAAAATTATTTCTTAAAACTTAGGGACTAAAGTTTTTAAATAAATAAGATCAGCACTTTAGCACTAAAATCATGTTGTTGAGTGACAATTTTTTAAAAACTATTTTTCTTATATTTAAGAAAAATTACAATTTTTAAAGTTAATTTATTTTTGAAACTTTTGGCCCTTCAACTTTTTCTCAATTAACAATCAAATCTCTAAACTTTAACTTAAAACAATTTAATTTCTATAGTTTCTTATTATATTTATAAATGGTAGACAAAAGATTTATTTCAATATTATTTATTGAGTACTTTATTATTTTTTAGGTTGATTTTTACTTTTATATTATTAAATGATAGAAAATATTAAAAATGATTCTTTTTGTTTTTATTAGATAGTAGAAGTGAAAACTTATTAAACTTCAAAATACAGTTATTGAGGTTGAATATTTTCTTAATTCTAATGAAACATGTTAGAAGTAATTTATAAATAAAATAAGAGAGAATAAAAACTAAACACTTATTGTTGGTCAAGATAAAATTATTACTATTTGGACTTTTTTTTAAGAAAATAAATCACGATTAGGCTTCCAAATGTCAATTTAATAATAATTAGCTGAAAGATCAAAAGTTGTAAATTAATGATCTATATATCAAATTATCAATTTCACAAGTTAAATCAAAAAAAAAAACTCCAAACATGAACATAAGACTCAAAACTAGTTGAAGAATTTGCTTTGAGCTTAAATATAAGGCAACAATCTCCTTTCTCTCATATATTTATTAATGTTAATTTCTCCCAAGCTCCCCCCGTGTGTAATTAATATGGGTAGTTTTCTACGTAAATAATTAAAAGAAATATTCTCTTCGTTTAAAAATATAAAATATTTTTAATTAAATCTCACCTCCTAATAAAATAGTTACCTACTTTTAAACTAATCCTTTCTTTTCATATGTACTTTTATTAAACACTCTACAATAAGTATAAAATTATTTATCAATAGGGACACTTTAAAAAAAAAGGCAATGATTACACCTCGAAAGACTAAAAATGTCTTATATTTTTTAACATCCATCTGCTCAAAAATATCTTATATTTTTCAGCAAAAGGAGTAATATTTTAAAGAGACCAAGACATGTTTTTTTTTTACAAATAACTAAATTAACTAATTTTCTTAGTATTAATTTGTGTTAATTAGTTATTTAGCTACTATATTAAGAGTTTTGCTCGGTGATAGGATTATAGGAATAGTGATTTACTTATAACATTAGAGAGTAAAAATTGGAACTTTTTGCATATATAATCCATGTTATAGAATCAAATCTAGCAAACAGTACAACATTTATTATATTTTATATTATGGCCGATTTATTATATTTGTCAATGATATACCTTTACATATCAATGATAAAACTCTTACAAATTTTTAAATTTTTAATGATAAACTTATTGTATATCAATGATAAATTTTTTGTATATCAATGTGAATCATCCACACTCCAATGATCCATATTTTTTAGCACAATTTTTTTGGGATCAATTTATCCTTAAAAAATTTGGAAAAATATAAATAATGTGTATAAGTATATTCTAGGACAAAAATAAAAAATGTTAAAATAAAAGAAGGAGAAAAGACCAAAAAATTAACCCAAATTAATACTATCCACGGATCATTTCACTTGTCACATATGATAAAATAAACCAAGGGACATGTTCATCATATTTCGATTTATGTACAAATATTGTGGAATTTTTTTTTTACTTATTTTTCTTGTTTATGCGTGTGAGATTTTAAAAAGTATAAAAAAAGCGAGCTAGTTTGCAGCAGTTTCAAGTGAGACAATGCAAGCTAAAATGGTCCAACCTATATTAAGCTCCAATTTTGATAAATATATACTAAAACTTATTTATAATCAATAATTGTGAAATAGCATTGTAAATTAAAAAATTTAAAAATATTTTTAATTATTTATTGCGATGTAAGGGACTTGGGAGTAATGTTGCTTTAAAAAAGTGGCCATGCCTTTTTAATTAGTTTTTTTTTATTGATTTAATTGGTTTTTTAACAAGTTCTTTTTTTCTTTAAAATAGAAATATCTGATTATGCAAAATTTGAGCATTATCTCGCACAAGGAGGAAGCTTTTCCAAAAACATTTTCTTTATTTATATGTACTTGCAAACGAGATTTCGTGTTTAAGCAACCTAATCTTTTTTAACTAGAATCGTCTATTGATTTTAACATGTTCTTTTGAAAAAAAAAAAAATCAGTTTTAGCAATGTTTCAAAGCACTTTGGTGTCGCCTCTTTGTCCCAAAAAAAAAAAAACCTTTGGTGTCATTTCAATAATTTTTGCCCAAAAAATCATATTACAATGTATGCTATTTCTTTCCTTTTTTTTTTTTCAAAGCCAACATGCAATGTATAAGATAAGACATAATAATAAAATATCTTATCATGGAAGATTTCATAAAGTTTTAACATTATTATACTCTCTTAAATCTTAAATTTGATTATTATTAGGTTTTAAATAGGATGCTTTTTTTAAACGTGATCTCTTCTTTGCTCCAAATTTTTAATTTATAAATTTGAATTTGAATTCAAAATCTTGTACAGAAAATTAATTTCTTTATTGTGACCCAAATTTTAACAAATTTTCTTTATATACAAAAAAAAAACAGATTCTTTATTTATTTATAATGTCTACACTCGATTTTCTCATACGTAAGCAACACTATTGCTAAATGTGTTAACATTTAGTATTCATTTATATTTTAAATGTGATTATTACTAATAGAAGGACACATGTATGAATAAAAAAAATATCTATGAACCAAATTTTTTTTTTGGCTAACATTGTGAACCAAAAATTGAAAATACTTTGTTTGAGGCTTTTTTACCAAAATGATGCATACAGTTAAAAATTTTTTTGAAATGCTGCAACGTGAAAAGTATTTCTTGAAATATTATACCAAAAATTATTCATAGGAAGAATGACTTTGAAGTTCTAAAAAAAAATTGTTCTCGTCTGAAATGATTTTAAAGTGAAAAATTATTTTTTTATTGCATTAAAAGTGAAATCATTCACTACTTGAATGATTTTAGTTTATTATTACTGATTTAATATTTTATTCTTAGTTCTTGCATTCTTTTAAATATTTATTTATTATTAATAATTTTTAATTTAATACACCTCATAATAATTCCTTAATCATATTAGAATCAATTATTATTTATCATTTTCATTCAAATGATTACTAAATTATTATTGCAATTGTAAGGTACAGTTGAAGTTCATAAATCATTTCTAAAACTGAATTGATAAATTGAAGAAATCATCCTTATGGTGATGAATTTTAAAAATTGTTTTTCCCCTACACGATTTTAAATGTAGCATTTTGTGCAATATTTTAATATTTTTTTATATTGTATAGTATGTCAGTGAAAAAATTAGCTTTGTACTATCTAACTTCAACTTTGCTATCGCATCTTTATGCTTTTAGACCTTTTTATAGCTATTGTGCATGAATTTTTTATTCTCACATGAATTTTTTATTCTCACATGAACATGTATTATGCTAAAGATTTTCACAAAATGATAACGTGTTAAAAGAATGCAATGACTGAAAATAAAATGTGAAATCGATAATAATAAGCTGAAATTATTCAGGCAGTACATAATTTCACTTTTAATGCAATAAAAAAATAATTTCTCACCATAAAATCATTCCAGGCGAGAACGACTTCTTCAGAACATTAAAATTGTTCTTCACATGAATAATTTTTGGTATAGTATTTTGAAAAATACTTTTCACGCTGTAGCATTTTAAGAATTTTTTTTACCGTATATAGCATTTTGATAAAAAAAGCCGTTGTTTGAAGATTTGGCCCAAAAGAGATGAATTTGAAAATGTCATGGCAGCACCAAAGTCTTTGATTAAAAAATAATTCCATAAATCAAAATTGCCACTACATGGTAGAAAATATTATGACTCTTTAAAATCGAAGCCTCACTTGTAAAACCACGAGCTCGATTCTAAAAACCAGAAGTCAATTGTAAATAAGTTCTCATGATTTACAGCTACATTTTTTTTAATTTTTGACTGATCTATAGATTTTAAAACTCAAATTGACATGCCTTACTTTCTACATACTCCTTCCATCCTTGTGTATAATATATTTTTAATTGAATCACACAAATCAATAAAAGTTAATTATTTACTTAAAAATAGATCAATATTCCTATTTTTCCCCTAATTATTCTAAATAAAAAATGAATATTTTTTTAAAGTAAATTAATAAAAATACTTATTTTTTTCCCTTCTCAATGTAATAAGGGTATAATGATTCATTTAGTAAAAAAATATGTTTACAATCTCTTATATTTAGGAACAAATTTTTTTTTAAAAAAAACTTTTTATATATAAGGATGAAGGGAGTATTGCTCTTTCAAAAACAGAAAAAAGAAAAAAAGAAAAGCCACTCAATGTAGTATAGCACATTGAGCTCTATTAGAAGCAAATAGATTTTCAAAGTTCCCACAGAAATCTTTCAACAAAAATATAATACTTAATATTTTTGAATATTTTGAATTCATATCGTCACATTTTTAACGAGAAATAACTCTAAGTATAGTTTTTTATTTATTTATGAAAAAAAAGCATTAGGTCTTATTTATAAAGAATTAAGATAACATTTGGACCAATAGATTTGAATTTACAATTTAAATTTTAAATTTTAAATTTCATATTTTAAATTTTTTATTTGGACAATATAAAAATTTTTTAAAAAATAAGAGAGATAAGTTGAGACTCAAAATAAAATGAAAGATTGAGAATGATAATCCTACGTTTATACTTCAATAATTAGTTGAGTTCCAATATAACTATAATATAGGAAATTGGATGATAATTTGATACTAAAAAGAAAAGTTTCTTTCTACTTGGCCAAACATTCATTAGAATCACAACAAGTGAAGAATAACACAAAGAATTAAACCACACCATATATTTTCATTTTTTTAATAATTCAGATACATTCAATCAATTTATATTCTTATTCAAAAATTACTTTTAACATATTTAATTAAAATAATAAAAACTTTAAAATTCATTAACTCTATCATAAAATTTAATAAAATTTCAATTTTACTCATATTAAATATATATATATACATACATACACACATACATATATATATATATATATATATATATTTAATGTAAAAAGTAAAACTTGTTTTATCACAGAAAGGGAGGGAGGGAGGGAGGGTTGTGTTGAAAATTTAATGACTTATAAATAAAATTAAAAAATTTTATCTCTCAACTTATAAATAGGATAAGAGGAAAGCATTGAAACTAATGGAAAAGAAAACTAAATTAAATTGTGTGTGTATGTATGTATGTATACATACATATACATATACATATATATATACATATCTGTCCGAACAATAAATGTAAAAAGCAAAATAAAATAATAATAATAAAAAATTGTGCACGATAATCAAGTGAGTGCAGTATAGATGACACTAATCTAAGTCCTTTAAATGATATTTCAGTGCTTCATTTCTGGAGATACATGAATAGAAAGCATTTCTTAAAAGCTGACAACCTTTTGGATAGATTTCAAAATGCTCTATGTATCTGTGCGCGTGTTGTGTGTGTGTGTGTTAAAAGTTTACAAGGAAAGTAACATTGTTTTTGAAATGAAATTGTAAATCAAGTTAATACTTATTGACCCTTTTAGACCAACTTTTAATTTTTACATACATTTTTATTGTGGTAATTAATTTTAATAAAAGATAAAATACATACTCCCTCCATTAAAAATTTACATTTTCATGGCTTGGATAATAAAAAATGTATGTATTTTTAACTTTTTAAAATATAATAATTACTTTTTTCTCCAAAAGTATTCTTATTCAATAAATTACTTTATATTTTTTTCAAGGTGAAACACATATTAAATAGGAGTAAATATAAAAAAAAATATTAATTTAAAAATAAATAACTATTTTATTAAAAAGTGAGATTCAATTAAAAATATTTTATGTTTAGAAGAAGTAATAAATATTTTTTCTCATTAAGACGAGATGGAGTATTGATTATTGATTAAAATTTATCCATCAAAAAACATATTTTATTATATAAAAAGATGGGAAAAATACAGCTATTGTTATTTATATTTTTAGCATTCTTTAATATTAGTTCTTCTATTATTTTCATTGCTCTAGGTCATTTAAATTTCATCTGATTGTAATATTAGTTCTTATTTTTTTAAATATGACTATAAAAACTTAACGATAGTTAATGCGTACATAATCGATTACTCTTTCTTGATTTGTTAAAATTATGATAAATTTTATAAAAATTTACTAGAAGGCAAAAAAAAATAAAAGATTAAATTAAAATATTCAAATGAGTCATGGATTTTCAAAGAAAAAAGACACAACAGCTAAGACAGAAAGAAATATTAGTTGCTATTTTGCTCATACAAAGTCCAACCTATCATAATTTTTTCAACTCAATAATAAAATCAATTTAGTTATATGTACATAAATAGATTTAACTCTATCAATGACAAAAAAAAGACTAACGTTATAAATATTTAAATTTAAAGGACTTGGATCAATGAAAAAATTATAGAGAATAATAATAATATCAAAATATGTTAAATCAAGTAAGTGTGGCACATATAATAACATTTTAGGCCTCTTAAATATTATTTCAGAGTTTAATTTTTGAACATATGTATGGAAACTATTGCTTGAGAGAGGACAACTCTTTAAATAATATTTAAATTTCTCGAAAGATTGTTTCATGCCCACCCATTGTGGGAATATCTTGGGAAAAAAACCCAAATATGATAAATACATTTGGACCAATGGTTATATTTTTTCAAAAAAAAAAAAGTAAAAACAAAAACACTTCACAAATATAACTAGAAATCTGGTGAATCTGACCCATATGAGCTGAAACCTTAATTTTCTTAAAAATAATTTATTTATGAAATTCAACCCTTATTTAAAAGACTTAGACTGAGCCCATAAATCAATTATTATTATTATTATTATTATTTATATTATTTAAAATTAAAAATTTTAATTATAACATTTCATCTTTTTTAAATACAAATGATAATATTAAAGTGTAGAAATTCTAATCTTAAGGTACTATATATTTTAAAGTTGAAATACAATTTAAAAGTTGAAAAATATTTTAATTTTTACTTGTAAAAAAAACCTAAAAAGGCTACTTGAATTAAACACATTTTTTCAGTGTCTATTAGGACCGAATTTTAAACCTGATTTTTCTATAAGTATCATTTTTTTAAATTTAGATTTTTATAACAATGAATTTAGATTGATAGTCCGTGAAACTCAATCCTTATTTTTAAATTTACTTTGAAGTTTTTCTTTTCTTCTCTTTTTTTGCTTTTTAAATAAAACAAATGAAGGCTCTAGATTAGCGATCACGACCATGAATCCTCCAAAAGGAAAGCGTAACCCCCTAATCTTTCGCTCCTCGTCACTCTATAATAACAATACAAGATGGGCTTCAATAGTATTCTCAGACTCTCACCTCTTTCCTCTTCCAATTCCATTGTACTCCTTAACCCCGGAACCACACATACCTTCTTCTCTACCCTCCGTCGTCCTCTTCATTCTTATCCTAATCGTCGTCCTACTTCACTGTTCAATACTCACTCCAACATCTTCTCGTCGAAGCCCATCATTATCCCCGCACTTAAGCGTGGTTTTCGTGGTGGAATTGTGGCCATGGCTGCTCCTGGGTCTGTTCAGAAATCGGAGGAAGAGTGGCGGGCTGTTCTCTCCCCTGAACAGTTTAATATTCTCAGACAAAAGGGCACTGAGTAAGATTATCTTCCCCATTGGGATAGCATGGATTATGCTAATTTGCTGGTTTAATGTGTTTGGATTTTTTTTTTCTTTCTTTGTTTTGAGTTGAATTGAAGATTTTTGAAATTTCGATGGACTTTTTCGTTAATTCGGGTTAATTTTGAGAATGAACGTATGATTAAGATTAAGAGATTGCTTTTCAGTGACTAATTTCGGAATTAAGGCGTTTTACTGGCTTTTATTATTTTTACTTATGGAGATTATGATTCAGGGAAGACAGATAAACATAGATTTAACCTTCGGCTATGTTTGATCTTCAAAACTTAATGTCCAATTTTGAGTTATATATTGTGTTAAGAAGATGGAGGTGTCCCAATCGACGGTGATGAAGAAGTGTTTTACTCTAAGAAAACTCGCAGGCTACGTAAAAGAGGATTTTCTTTCAACTTCCAGATTGATAGTTACATTAGTTTCTTTACATGAATTAGTATCTGGATTAATCATTTATAACTACGATGCTACTTTTGCTTTTGTTTTGTTTTTTTCTTTCTTTAACATAAGAAAGGTAGAATTACTAGTTCATTGTCCCGTATATGACACCATACTGATACTGTTCTCTACGAGAAACATTCGAATCTGTGGAAACCTTGGCACATTTTCTTAAACGAGAAATTTGTGGAGAATACTCTTAGGGGAACACCTTTTTTTTTTTTTTGGGGGGGGGGGTGTTATTTTGCATAGAATGAAATGAAGTGGCACAACCAAGAAACTCAAGCCATTGTTTGGAAGAATTGTTTAGGAGGGAGAGGAACATCCTAAACCCAATTTTTCTCATCCCGAACTTGGAGGTCAAGGATGGAATGATGGGGGAATAAATATTCAATTACAAGAATACTTCTACACCTGTAAGATGAAAATGTATATTTTCACTTCCAAAAAAAAGCTCCCCTCTCTGACTCTTTCAGTTGCCATCACCACCTCTTCCCCTCTTCAACTTCTAGTTTGGTCAATGCTTGCCGAGAAAACTAGTGAGAGCGAATATGCATTTTGTAATTTGTTGAACCGTTTCATTGGAATCTAGATATGAATGAGTACTTAGTTTTAAGTCGATTGGATCATACATTTAGAAGGCAGCATCCCATCCCATGATGGTCTGGAGATGATTTACCCACTAAAGGTGTATGAGGAAGTGGAGAAGCTCCACGAGTTCTGCATTAATATTCAATCAAAGAGTATAGTGTTGAGAAATTTGATTTAGCCTTGCATGGAAGCGACCTATTCTTTGGTCAAGCCCTGATACTCCTTTAATTACAGTGGAATGAACATAATTCACCATTGTATTCCACTCCGTTCTAGTAATGAATATCCCATCCCATCCGATCCCATCTTATAATCCCAAACACTTTCTAGGGCTTCATAAAAGTGGCCTTCTGTTCTCTAATCATCCTTGTAAGATGTGGTTTACTTGCCTTCTAGTTTTTCCACTTACGTGCAACATCTTGTCTTGTCACTTTGATTTCTGAGTCATGAGTAATTTATATAGTCATTTGGTACGCAGAATACAATAGAAATGAAAGCAAAGATAATTGAAATAAAAGTAATTATATGTATAGCAAATATATCTGCTGTCTTTGCATAAAAACGATACTAAAAAGTTGAAATAAAAGTAATTATATGTATAGCAAATATATCTGCTGTCTTTACATAAAAATGATAATAAAAAGGGGCAATTGCTGTCAAATGATAATGATATAAGTAACATTATATATATATATATATATATATATTACTTTTTGTGCAATAAAAGTAGTTTTGAAATGGTTCAACCAGATGGGGCCGAATAGAGGGGAAATGAATGAGAAGATATGGAAATAATTTGCCAACTTGAATAGGTGATAATACTCGAGATGGGTAATTAGCCTTCATGTTATCAAGAAGATGGTTTTGTATTATGCAGGTATCCAGGAACAGGAGAATATGACAAGTTCTTTGATGAGGGAATCTACAACTGTGCAGGTTGTGGCACTCCTCTCTACAAGTCCACAACGAAATTTAATTCTGGGTGTGGCTGGCCCGCCTTCTATGAGGGTCTTCCAGGAGCCATAAATCGCACGGTGAGTTAACCCTTTTTCTGGTTTGCCCTCTTTGCCTTTGCTGTTATGTTTATGGCCTCATTGCTCTTTCAGCCCCTCTAGTTTTATAAATGAAGCAATTTAATCGTACTTTCAATGAGAGCAGTCTATTGGAAGCTCAAGTTTTTGTTTAACCTGGTCAAGTAGAGCAATGCTTTTCTTATAGCTGTTACTTGTTTATTTATCAGAGCTATTTTGTCTCTCTTTCTAATTATTAAATTAAAGCAACTAAAATTATTAAAAATACTAATTAAAATATGGTGGTTTTAAATTTTCACTATGCCTCAAAATTGCAGTAACAGTGGTAAAGATTGATCTAAGGTAACATTTACAATAGAGGTAATGAAACTTTTGGTCCTTTAACATTTGCCTCTATTATTAATTTAGTCTCAGAATTTTAATGTTTACTAATCAAGTCTCTAAAGATTCATGACCATACACAATTAATCTTTATGGTCTAAAAGGGAAATAACATTACTGGGATTAATTGTGTATGGTTATGAAACTTTAAATATTTGATTGATAAATATTGAACTTCTGGAGTTAAATCAAAAACTGAAGCAAACTTAAAGGATCAAAAGTTTCATTGCCCCTTTATAATATACAGAATGTCTACATGTGTGATTGTTAAATTGGGGAAGCAATTGAGGCTGATGGGATTGTGATGTTTTGAATGCATGGAACAGCCGGACCCAGATGGAAGGAGGATAGAGATAACATGTGCAGCATGTGGGGGACATCTGGGTCATGTTTTTAAAAATGAAGGATTCCGAACTCCTACCAATGAACGCCACTGTGTGAATAGCATTTCGCTCAAGTTTGTACCCGCCAATTCTTCTTAATGTTCTCAGCCATATGTATGACCAATGCGTGCTCTAAATTCCATAAGATGATTATGCAATGTATTCAGACTGCAACTTAGCTCCATTGACTAATGACTCCCTACATGGTTTTGAATGAGCTGATTCTTAATATAAATGAGCTGTTCTTGCAGTTCATAGTTGAGTATGTGTCAGATTCAGATGTAAGTATCTTTCCCCAGGGGTGTGTGTGTGTGTGTGTTTTTTTTTTTTTTAAAATATTTTATTTATCTTTTGTAATAATAAGATTATAGTACTTAGTTTTGTAATGAATTTGTGAATGTTGCAAAAGGATGACAAACCTCCTTTTCTGAGGGGCTTCCATGCTTAAGACAGGGAGTAGTGGCCATTTGCATATACATGTAGACAAGTATTTGTTGTATTCCAAAAACTATTAGAAGGACACCAAAATTATATTTCTCTCTACTTGCAGTCGCACAACTTGGCAACTATACTTCATAGATTGGATTCAACTTCTTTATAATTTATCGGAAAAACATGAGTTTAGGTTTTTATATTTTGTTTGCATTTTGTTATTAGTCTTGTATTATTATTCCAATGTTTTTGGTCCCGGTATTTTTGTTTTTCATTGTTATTAGGAACTAATAATAAAACATGAGCAAAGACTTAAAACAACAAAAAACAAAAGTATAGGGACTAAAAATATTAGAATAATAATACATAGACTAATAACAAAACACGAGTAAAATGTAAGGATTTAAAGTTATGTTTTTCCTAATTTATAACTAGTATGATTTTTTGTGATGATATAACTTTTAGTCCCTAACCTTTTTTTCAATTATTGATTTATTCGTTGAATTTTGACTCAATGCAACTTAAGCTTTTAGTATATGAAATTAAGATATTATAGAGATTAAGTTATATTGAGTCAACTTATTATGAGGAGTGAGTTATTCTTAGTCAAAAGATTATAGGGATTGAGTTGTTATGTGTTGAATTGAAATGTAAGAATACAAATGATAATTGAGAAAAAGATTGAGGAATTAAAATTTATATTTTCTCTAGTTTTGTAATAAAATTTTTATGGAAAGACATATTTCCTTATGTACTCTCTTCAATCCCTGTTATAGGGAAATTTTTTTAAAAATTCTTTGATTCCTAATATAAGACATATGAAGAGTTATTTATTATTATTTTAAAATTTTATTTATGATAAAATGGGTTAATGAGCAAAATAAATTTTAAAGTATTGTATGAAAAGCATTTTGGACTTTAAACTTTTAAAATATGCAAAATGAATTATAAACTTTTAAATTTATAATAAATTTAACCCCATCATTAATTGCTAATTAACGTCACTATTGCTCACTTAGTAAGGCCTAGTTTCTTGTTGATGTATCATTTTTTAATTAGCATCATAGATATTAAATTATTGTACAAGTAGCATCCTAGATTATAAACTTTGAAATTCAGAGCAAATTATTCCCACCATTTATGTATAGAACGTTAGCTATTATATAAATTAAATTAATTTTAGTGTGGTTTGCTAGCCTTAGTGTAACACTTGCCTTGAGTGTTATCCAAAAATCACATAATTCAAACAAACTAAGTGTGGTTAAGGAATTGATCCTCTAACCAACTTAAAAAATAAATCATTTAAAACCTTAAAAATAATTATAGGTTCTACCTATAGCGCACGGAAGCAAGTTAGACGAAAATGGAATAAAAAGATGCTGTCATGACAGTAATTTATTGCTGTCATGACAGCCCTCTTGGGCCAACTTCCAGGAGGCGATGTTCCGTCATTCGACCTCCGATTGAAGTGATTTTAAAGCTCACACATCACATTCAAAGGGTACTATAAGTGTACCAAATTTCAAAAAGATCCAACGGTCGGATTAAAAATTAGACATGTTAAAAGATTGACTATTTTTGCTGTCATGACAGCTAAAAAGCTGTCATGACAGCACTTCCGGACCAACTTCCGGAGTGCACCATTTCATCATCTGACCTCCGATCGGAGTGATTCCAAAGCCCACATGTCACTTTTAAAGAATACTATTAGCATACTAAATTTTGAAAAGATCCAACGGACGGATTGAATTTTGTGCAGGTTACAAAATCAACACTGTAGCTGTCATGACAGCAATTTAATGCTGTCATGACAGCACCTCCAGACCAAATTCCGGAGTGCGTCGTTTCTCCGTCCGATATCCGATCGACGTGATTCCAAAGCCCACACGAAGCTTATAAAAGGTTTTACTTGTGACCCAAATTTTAGAGAAATCCAACGGTCGGATTAAGATTTGGACACCCGGATGCAAAAGTGCAGCTTTTTGGTAAAAACCATTTTCAAAATTGTCCAAATCCCATCCTAATGGTCACAAACCTGTGGAAACACTTTGGACACGACAAATAAGATTAAAAACACTTGATAGAACATTTAAATGATGGAAAACCCCCATACATCAAAATTTGACCACCCGGGTGCCATTTCCCAAAATGGACCCTAAACCCCCAAAATACACAAATCATACAAGAGTGGTCACAAATCAATCCAAATACCATGTATTTATATAAATACATATGCTAAACATTTTCACTTGGCTCAGAGCTCCTTGTGGGGCCCACGCACCCACTCTCTCTATTCAAGGTGTATGTTTGCCCATAGCACACCATTTGCAATGCAACCACTTTGCATTTGCTTATAAAATCACATATATATCAAAACAAAGATCTGCTTGTAATAGAAACTTGGTCTACTAAGTAAATCCATCAAAACCACACACCATAACCAAGTTTCCTAGCCACAAGTCTGCAAACAGACAAAAATTCATACACAAGCACACAATCCACACATATTCACACACACACACATAATCATATCCTACTGGCACCCTAATCTTAAATACATTACAATATATTTGCTCAAAAGAAAGGGGTTGCAGTTCTTTACAAATCACAAGCAAACCCCTAGCTTTGCTCTTTTCCCCGTCCACCACTGGATCCTTCACCTGGACCTAGAATATTGAAAAGAAAGGGGTGAGACAACCACAGTCTCAGTAACAGTGAAATCTATATTGATTATTACAAAGTAAGCCATAATTAAATAAATGAATAATAAATTCAACATAGTATATAATTTAGCCATTTAAAATACATGAATGCATGACCTAGGCCGGTATGGCCTTTCATGACCAACAGAATGCCCCCTGGCACTCTTTAACTCGCAGGTAAACCTTATACCTACTTGTACCTCCACAGGCACAAAACATAATCTAAGGCATGATCTAATCCACCGAACCGCCTATGCCCCTTCGACGTGAATCCTGAGCAGTCAAAGCTAACTCCCTCCCAGAGCCAGCCCGACTTACTCTCCATGTGAGGGCTACCTTGGCCTAGGCACTCAACCTCACACTTCATATGTCGGATTCCCTCCCCCACTGAGAGGTGTCGAACACTCAATACACTAACCACTTTAGTGCACTGAGCCCACAATACGTAAGACAACACTGAGTACTGACAATGTGCCATAGAATATCAAAAATTCACACCTTCTCATTGGTGAACTCCCACCGAGATCATGCCTTTTACTCTTGTCTACCTTTCCTGAGTATTGACCATTCAACACTCTAAAGTAGTATAATATTTATAAATCTCATTTCCATAAAAACATTGTTATTAAACAATTAGAAAACATATTTGCACTATAATCAAAGTAGTACCCCATAACCCCTTATAAAGCACATTTAATCTTTTAAAACATGTAATGCATGATAACTAGTAATATTTATTCAAAAATAGCTAAAACAAAGTAATAAGAAATATAAATTCCCCTGTTACCTCAACCCTTTGGTACTAAAAGGGTTCCCCTTGTACAAAATAGGGCTCGGCTTGTTCCTTATTTCTCAATAAGTTCTACCAACAATTTTCTACAACATATAAGTGATCCACATCACTTATCATGACAAATAGTATTAATGAAGACTATAACTTATACCACACAACTTAGGTCAATGAGTCATAATTCACCCTAATGGTCCATATATTAAACGAACCATTCACATAGTATCACTTAACCACCAAAACCATTTATTAGCCATCACTAGGCTAATTTTCAATTTATATAATTTTTTTAATCAATTAAAAACCTTTACTTAGTGCCACCAACTTTCACCATTAGCCCTTATAATGAAAACCAAACCTTAATTTAAATCTTATTGGGCTCAAATAGCAAAATTATAACTAAATCAATAGGCTTAAACCATTGAGGAGCAAAAACCCAATTTCTCAAGGTTTATTTTGTGCCCAAAACACCTCTTTTCATCCAATTATTCACTCAAAACATTAGATCACTATATAGAAACTCAAAACATGCTCCCTAGAATCCAAAGAAACAAAAGCTTACAAGAATAAAGCCTTTGGGATCAAAATTCAAAAATTTCCTCTTCCAAAAATTGAAGAAAATCAAGAGAAAGAGAAGAGGATTGAAGTAGGGAGTTTACCTATCGTGTAGCCGAGCTCGCAACGGTCGCAAAGACTCCTAAATCCAAGCCTAACTCCCTCCCTTTCTCTTCTCTTCTTCCTCTCTCCCTCTCCCCCGTTTGTGCGTTTGCTTCCTTTCTCATTTTCTCTGCGTTTCTGCATCAGTTTGCTCCTTAAAATGCTGGTCAAAAACTTTGGAAAAAATTACAAGAAAGGGCCCAACATTTTTTATTATTGCACAAAAGCCCGGGTCAACTTTGGTAATTTTTTCCATAGTTAAAAATCAAATAAAACCAAACTTTTGCTTAGTAAAATTCGAACTCTGGGCCTCTATTAAATTATTCTAAATTTTAATTTAATTATAGATATTTTATTTTATTTTTGTTTATTTTTTTTAAATAAATTTGAGTCTTAAAATTTTTAGGATGTTACACTTAGTGTGGTCCATTAAGGTGAATGCATTGTTTGTTACGGCAAACGACCTATAATTTTATGAAATGATTTTTTCCTTTTTTTTTGTTGCAATGTTTGCAAACAATTGGTACCTTATGTTTCTATATACTCAATAACTCTGATTTAATTTTATTTTGAATAATGCTTATTTATTTAATGGTGAAAATTTAGGATCCCATTTAAAAAGAAGTTTAAGATTTGAATTAATCGGTTCATTTTGGTTTGAAATCTGTTGATAAAATTGTTAGCTTTTGTATCGATTGTTTGTAAAATCTTTTGATATTTAAACTTTTTTTCAAATAGAATCTCAAATTTTTATCATTAAATAAATACATATTATTCAAAATAAGATTAAATCAAAGTTTAGGGTATATAGAAACATGATATACCGATTGTTTGAAAAACATTGTAAAAAAAGGATAAAAACATTATTTCACAAAATTATGGGTCATTTACTGCGGCCAATGATGCACTCATTGGACCATGCTGAGCTTAGTTTAGTCTACATAATAGTTAACATTTTACATATAAATGTTAAAAGTAATTTGCTCTAAACTTCAAAGTTCAAGGTCAATGATGCTACTTTTGTAATAGTTTAGAGCTTGTGGTGCTAATTAAAAATGCCACATCAGCAAGCGACTGTCATATTAGCATTTTAACTAGGCCTTATTGAGTGAACAATAATGGCATTAATCAGCATTTAACGGTGGGGTTTGATTTATTATGAATTTAAAAGTTTAGGGTATATTTTGAACATTTTAAGAGTTTATGGTTCAGAGCGCTTTTCACACAATACTTTAAGGTTCATTTTGCTCATTAATCTTTATAAATTTAATTTTATAGTTCATTGTATACTATGCATGTTTTTATTTTTAATAAGGATAAAGTTGATTTTTTTTATTTTAAGACATTTAATTTAATAAGTTAACTGTCATTCTTAGATTCTAGTGAAGAAGTTGAAAGTATTTTATAATAAGAATAGAGAATATTTGCACATGGTTTAAGATAAATAATACTATTTATAACTTATAAACAGTGCATTTGCTCATTGGTTTAGCTATTATAATATCTTCTAGGCCAGTGTTTAACTACTCTAATATAAAGGATTCACATTTTAAAAGAATAAAAAATTAATTATTTGGTTCCTATAATTTTAATTTAGTTAAAATAATTTTTTAATTTTAAATTAATATAATTTAAATTTTATAATTTTAGTCATTTAAAATGTTGGTTCCTATACTGTAAAAAATAAAATTATAAAAACTAAAATTATTTCTTGAAACTTAGGGACTAAAGTTTTTAAATAAATAAGACCAGCACTTTGGCATTAAAATCATGCTGTTGAATGACAATTTTTAACAAACTATTTTTGTTATATATAAAAAAATTATAATTTTAAATTTAATTTATTTTTTTAAAAATATAACTTTTGGTCTTTCAACTTTTTCTTAATTATTAATCAAATCCCTAAACTTTAACTTGAAATAACTTTTTATAATTTCTTAATTTAAAATAATTCAGTCCCTATAATTTCTTGACTCGGCATACTCAATTCTATAATTCCTTAATTTAGTATATCTCAATTATTGAGTTGTACTAGTCAAAGTTTAAGAATTAAATTGATAATTGAAGAAAAATTTTGAGATAAAAAATTATATTATTTTTTTATTATTATTCTTATATAAAATTATAAATAAATAAAATTTTGAATACATAATTTTAATGTAAGATGAATTATATGGAAATTACAGTTATAATTTCTAAATTTTATCAATATATAGTAGATAATATCATATAATAAATTATAAATACTCAATAGTAACCCATATAACATAACATATATGGAGCTGCATTACCCATAGCCATAGTGCGGCTTATTTAAAAATAATATATATATATATATATTTTAAAAATTAAATATTTTCAATAGATAAAAAATTTACTCTTACAAGCTCCGGAAGAATTTTGAGGTTGTGTGAAACTATTTTTATTTTATTATTTTAAAAATTAATATTTCATAAAATATTTTTAAAAATAAATAATTAAAAAGATTTTTTTCCCAATTTTCTTTATTTTTTAGAATAATAATCTCAAAGAACTTAAAAAATTTTAGTAAAAAAAAAACTTAAAAGATATATTTTTTATTCTCTAAAATAATATTAAATTTTTTTATTCTTCAAAATATTTTTTAAAAATACATTGTTGAATAATTTTTTTTATTTTTTTAAGAAGATAAAATTGTTGCTAAAGTAGGTTGCCAAACATGAAGTTCATCTTTCATCGGCCAAACCCAAACATTATCTACCCATACGCATATGTATTTTTCAGTACGTCTATATGTACATCATGTATCCTTTTTTTTTTTTTTTGGGCAAGGTACTTTATCTATTTCCTTACCCGATAATCACATGTTGAACGTAACCACACGGCCACGTTGGCATTACGTAGCTCTCTCTTCAAAATTCCCTCTTGATTTCTCATCCATGATTATCGTTTATCCTCACCACCGTAGCGAGACGTTAAAAAAAATAACAATAAAAATAACTTCAATTGATACCCACAAGTTTCATTCGCTCCACACATAATTCAGCCAACTCATTTCTGCAACGCTTTCACTTTCTGCAAAATTTCCAAGTCTTTCGCTGCTTGCGCGTGTTCACTTATCATCCTCACTTTCGGGGTTGGATATTTTTGCCCCTTGGCTTGGCTCTGCAAGGTAGGGATAGTCAAATCAAGAGTTCAAAATTTAGCTCAAATATCCTCAAATATCAAGCTAGGTATCGATAAGTGAAGCAATGGCTTAATAATGAGCTTCTTCCCGTGGTGTTTTATAGCTTGGTGAGCATTATCAATATGACAGGGTCACTAGCTTACTGCCGAAGCTTCAAGGTACCATCTTCAATATTGTTATTCACTCTGTTTGTGGGCTTTCTTGAATTAGTTTGTTCTTAATGTAGATGTGTGTTTCTTGTGATTTTGTTATTATAAGGAGCAGTGACATTTTTCTCCATGTTTCTTTTTGTTCCCTTCGATGGAATGGTCAAAAGGGGAAGAATGGAAATTAAAGACTTTTTAACTTTAAAGTATTTTCTTCATCTAATTGTATATTCAAATTTAATTCGAATGAACTATATTTTGTTTCCTCGAGAAACCGCTATTGATATTTGTAAACTTTTAAATATGAACTTGTTGCTTAATGCGGATATTGTTAGTTTGGTTTTAAACGTTGTGGTTAATACGTAGAAATGGAGTTGTTGAGTTTTTGCTATTACACGGTAGAGTTTCAATTCCAATAGTGCCCTTTTAAGGAAATGAGAAACAAAGGAAAATTTTAAACTTAGAAAATTGCTACTTAGTTCATGTGTATTCAAGTAAAAGTTGTATAAGCCGGGTATTTACAGTGTAAATTGCCAAATATGAACTTGATGCTTAATGTGCACAGTTGAATAGTTGCTGGGCATTCTAACATTTTCATGGAATTTCCATGCAGGGCTATGATAGTACCAAGCAGAAGAGTCCAACTTGGGCATACAATCATGCTATTTCGCCAATTTGTAGAAATTCTGTTTTCATGATGTATTCAGATAACAAACCAGGGCCACCACTATTATCCAACCGAGTTAATCACAGGATAACTTATAGAATTTCTGTGTCAGAAAATTGTTTTGAGAACACAAATTCCTTTCCTTCCTCATTCTCTTGTTGGAAAGGGTTCTACTTCTCTAGGTACCGGCCAGTCCATTGGGAGCGGTTGCGAACCAATGTGGCATATGATGTTGCTGGCGCTATTGAAGTCATCAATGATCTAGGATTGGATACCCTTACATTCTTGGCTGTGACTGTCTTAATTGTACCCACATTCAAATTAATTAGAGCTAGTCCTGTAAGTATTTCTTGGTCTTTTATTTATTTTTTCTTAATAAATTCTGCTCTATAAAATTTCGTGTTCTTATTTGTTAGAATTGTACCACATAATCTGCAGTATTCATGCATATGAATTCCCCGTTGATTTTACCACTTATTTATTTTTGGCTGACAATTTTACCAGTTCAAATGTTTGGAAAATGGCATAGACACAGAGAACAGAAAGATGCATGACTTTATTCTTAATGATTAGCAGCATAATTTGGGGACTGGAATTTACAATTTGCAGAAAATTCTATAACTCATTTGGTAACTGAACATGTTAATCTACATGGCCTACTGGACTGGAGATGTTATGCTTTTCTTTATTATCTAGTCTCTAATATTCTCGTGCATGACTTCGTTTTTTTCACTATTACATTTGACATCATTAGATGAACTTGTGAAATTATGTTCATATACCTTGAAGTTGAAATCACTGTTCTACACTATATAATTCAAAGCATTTAGGTTAGGAGTCAATGTAAACTAATGAATTTAATGTTGTCGTTAGTTTATGCTTCTGCCGAAAATGAGCATTCCTTTTATACAAAAAAGTTGCTTAGTGCATAGAAACATATATCAAAATTAACAAAATATTCATCAACATATATGCTTCAGAATTCAAATATGATATAGCAGTAATAATTAGTTGAAAATTTATGTGTATGTGTGTGGAATTTTCGGCTTAGTACATATAGTCAATTTTGTTTATATACCATATTGTATTTATAACTGAAAAAAATGTGATTTCTGTTTCAGATTCTTGGCTTCTTCTTTGCTGGAGTTGTACTCAATCAGTTTGGTTTAATTAGAAACCTAACAGATGTTAAAGTTTTGTCTGAATGGGGCATCCTTTTCTTGGTAAGATAAATCTGAGCTTCATTGTTATTGTTTATTTTAATTAATTGTTATCATAAACTTAAATGCTGAATTCATGATACATACAACAAGTAAAGCACGCTATGGTACATGGGAACTGATGTTAAAAATACAAAGTGAAGTCAATATCCAGTTATTTTCATTTTCTGTTCTATGTCCTTGTGGGTGTTGGAACATGGATTCAATATAGACACCACGGTGAACTTTTAATAATTTCCTTTTACTAGGTGTCTTATTGGGGCTTATCCTGTGGAAGTAGTCATGCATAATCTATGTAGCCTATATCAAAAGATATAGCTTCTATGAAAGTCTATGTGCTTCAGCGTGAATTTCCATGTGCTTCAGCTTGAATTTCCATTTAAATTAATCAATTAATTTTCTTCACAAGCCCTGTAACTCAGTCATTGATATGAAGTAGTTTCTTTTTTTGGCCCCCCCGTTTTTTTATTGGGTTTTGAAATCATGATGGTAAAACCTTTGGTGTCATGTTAATATGGCGTTTGAAAGGTAGCATGCATGTGGAAATATAACTGGAGGTAAAGAAGGTTCTGTAAACCTTAGACATGACTATGAATATATCAACCTTTATTCTTGTCATGGTGATAGTTTACAAAAATTCCTAATAACAATGGATTATTATGCTAAAGTGTTGCATATTTCTTTTCAGCTGTTTGAGATGGGTTTAGAGCTTTCACTTGGACGTCTGAAAGCTCTTGCTAAATATGCCTTTGGAATGGGATTGGCTCAGGTATGTATGATGCTTTGGGGGTGTCAATGAGCATGCATAAAGATTTTCTGTAGCGATTCCATCGAAGTCATTTATTGTTTAGGGATTGAATTCTTATACATTTTCTCTTTATCATAGATGAAGAATTTGATATTGATTTATTGTATTTAGTTTCATGCATTCTTTATGATTGTCTTAAAAACTGGAAGTAAACTACTAGTTCATTTAGCAACCCTTGTTAGATTTCCATTTTTGTCCTTATTTTGTTTTTGGTTAAAACTCATTTGAAGGTTGCATTATCTACTCTAGCATTCACTGCTTTTGAACTTCCACCAAATGGAGCTATTGGTACAAAAATTTTGGAGTTCCTTTTCCACTCAAGGCCTGATCTGGTAAGATCTTTATGTCTATTGTGTCTCTATTTCCTAATAAAATATCCTTACTTCACTAAAATACCAAATAATTTAGGGATATTTGAGTCATTTCTGTATTAAAACAGTCAATGGAATGGTTTTTAGTTCATTTTCCTATACCCCACTAAAAGCAAGACTGTGGTGGAAATGACCTAAATGCCCATACACACATATGTATGACTAATTTAACTGATTTGATGGTTGCAAGTCAGCTTGTTGTGTAACAATGTGCTATCTTGGGTTCCTTTATATGCCTTGACTCTTTCTCATTAGACAACTCAAGGCAACCCTTGGGAGACATTTTTTAGATGACTCACATCATGTTTTGTCAGTACATTGTGGGGTACATGAACCTGTGCAAGTAGACTGATAAGGATCCAAATCAGCTTAGGAGACCATTAATAACTTATCATCGTAGAAAGAAGAGGAAGATAGTTGAAACTGATGCTGTCATGCATGTTTTAAGGGATTTATCTGATTTAAATTAATTGTTGCTGTTATTTTATTCGTTATTTGAATTGTTATTCTGTTAGTTGCTAAATAATAAGACCTCAAGGCTGTTAGGGAGGTTCCTGCGAGTAGTTCCTAATTTTTAGGCTAGTATCTTACATTATTTGAATTATTCAGTTGTATTCTCTTATTTTAAATATCCTAGCTCCCATACACAGCAGGATATGAATGAAGAAATAATTTCATTATTCCTTTGGAGATTCTCCTACTTGGCTGTTAAGTTATTTAGAGTGAGATCCTTGCTATAGCGAACTTAATAGATTACTTTTCCTAATCCCTATTCTTCTAAGTCCCTATCATAGACCCATTAGATGCATTGGTGATCTGTGCAAGCTTCAAGGGTGGACTAATAGGCTTTGATTTCATGTTGTTAAGAGTTATAGAAACTATTCTCAGTCCCTTACTATTTAGGTCAATTGGTTCCCTTGACATTGTACTTGATTCTAGTTGACAATATGTGCGCGCTATTTTTGCATCTTGATTAGCTTATTTTTCCATCCTTTCTTTTCTTTATTATTTTGCCAAAAACAAAGATTTGAGAGTGTACCATGAGGGGACATGCTGTGTTCTTTTATGAAATTTCCTGTGCTTCAATTTTTTCAGTTGAGGGGTTTCTGTCAGCTTGAATAATTATGTTGCAATAGAGCTAATTTTGAAGTTGGAATTCAAATTAAATCTTGAAAGAAAAGGTTTTGTATTCAAAGTAGTTTGTTCCGCTGGTTTAATTTTTTGTTTGTAGGTGAACATCAGGAGCGTTGATGAAGCTGTAGTGATTGGTGCTGCTCTCTCTCTCTCATCTTCTGCATTTGTTCTGCAGGTAATTGTTGTTATGAACCTCTATGCAAGCTGTTTCTAAAAAAAGTAAGTGCCTGACATTTTATTGTATTGTTATATCCAAGCTATAGTAATTGTGCTTGTATTTTGTATTTTATATTATGCATTCTGCAAGCATCTTGTTTTCTTACCTTTAACTTTCATTCATCAGTACTCAGAGCTTTTAAAAAGCAGAAAACTCCCATGATGGTGAGCAAAAGGAAAACAGGGGCTCTACTGTTAGCAACGAGAAAAATTAACAAGACTACTGAAGTATTTTTTATGGAGGCAAAACTAGAGAGGGTTATTTTGCTTAAGTAATGTGAACAAGCACATCCTTCATTTTATGTAATATTTATTGACATGTTTACCTTTCGGCATTGCATCTAATTTTCATATAAAAGTCTCAATAGGAATACTAGTAATTCTGGTTTTTCATTTGCATTATTAATACAACCAAAATATAAAATGCAAAATAATTGATAAGAAAACTAATTTTAGCTTTCTAAAACATTATTGTATTGAGTTCTTCTTTCCCTGACTCCCTCTTTATGCTCTATCTTGAAATAATTGGTTTTTTGAAAATGATATCCCTTTGTTTTTAATCTTTGCATCAATTTCCCCACTATGCCTACAGTTTCAGGACGATTGTTTTTCTTTTGGCGAGCAATTTGTTTGCATATCACCTCTATGCGGCCAATTTCAGTTATATACTATTGCTTGCTCCACTGTATAGTGTTTATTGAAAGAAATTATGGTAAAAATAACAAATCTGCTACATGTAGTGGTTCTAGTTGAGTGATAAACATAAATACCATTATGATAATAATTTGGCTAGCTTGCTTACCGAGTGTGTATAAATCTAGCTTCTTGCAGAGAAAGGTGAACTTCCTACAAGATTTGGTTCAGCAACTCTTGGGATACTTCTTATGCAGGTTTTATTCTCACATCTTTGCTTGACTTCATTGTCTTTGTCAATTTACTATGTAGCAGATAGACATCCTTTAATATGTTATAGCTTACCTGTTGATTATTTGCTGGTATACCATTCTAGATTGACCTGAGAAATAAGATTTTAGAGCGGACACAAGTTAATTCTGTCCCCATTTATGTCTATTATCTGCAGGACATAGCTGTTGTCCCACTCTTGGTCATTCTTCCTATACTAGAGAGCCAGGTGAGATGTTAAGTGTGAATAACATTTAAACTGTTGTACCTATAACAACCAATTTTTTTCTTAAGTTCTGTTTTTTCTTTACTGAAAATTTCTTGGTGACTTGAATTTTTTTGGGAGGCAGCTAACAACTATGACCTAGTGCCAACTTTGATATTATAAATTCAATCGGTTCTTCTGCTTGTAGATGCATCAATTCATTTATTGATGGTTGACCCCGTTCTTTCTGATTTTTGTATGCAGAATTTGGCTGAGGAAAGTATTTGGCCAATGCTTGCTCAAGAAAGTTTAAAGGCTTTGGGTGGATTGGGTTTATTGTCCCTTGGGGGAAAGTATATTCTTAGAAGGGTTTTTGAGGTCTGTATCATATTCACCCAACAAGGGCATTTAGTTCCCAAAGATGAAAGGAGAAACATTGAAACTCACTTTCATTTATTCGAGGCAGTAAACTGTTGTTAAACTCAGGTTGTTGCAGATTCAAGGAGCTCAGAGGCTTTTGTTGCTCTATGCTTGCTTACCATTGCTGGGACTTCACTTGTGACACAGAAATTGGGATTTAATGATACGGTCTTGCTTTTTCTTTTTCCCGTTCTAAAATTTTAATTTTGGGATGCATACTGTGTAGTTGAGGATCATTAGTGACAATCGTATGGAAATATCATAATGCAGCTTGGAGCATTTTTGGCTGGGGCGCTCTTAGCAGAGACAAACTTTAGAACACAGATTGAAGCTGATATAAGACCATTCAGAGGCTTACTTCTTGGGTTATTTTTTCTAACTACAGGGACCTCCATAGATATGCAGGTAATGTTACTATTGCTTGTGGTATACATAAACATAATCAATTCCTTTTCTGTCCTCTTTTGCAGTGTTATTATTAGTTTGGTTTCAGTGTCTGCCTGAATACAAACTTCAACCATCTAATTCACACAAGATGTTGTAGCTAATTCAGCAGGAACCTTGATGTATGCTAAGTAAAATAGACATTTCACAGTAACATTGGTATTGATGATTACAATCAATCACAGCTTCAGACCTAACAGTACAGTGCTCTAAACTCACATAAACACTCTACAGATCACAGCACTGGATATTAACACAGACTACATCACCAAAAGGGCAACACAACACCTAATGACATCACAGGAGGAGCAAATATGGATATAGAATACAGCGGGAACCTAGTTTCCATATTAAACAAAAAATAAGTGAATCACACTCACACATATACCTCATAGGTTGAAACCAATCAAAACATAGCACCTCAGTACAGTACTTGCAATGAACATAGCAAAAGACAAGAAGAAGCAACAGAAGCTGGCTTTTAGAGAGGCCAGACCTTTCTCCATGTCTTAATCGAAAAGTTTTCCTCCCCCTTCCTATGGCAGGTTCCCCTCTTACGTAATCTTTCAATTATTCCCTCTGACTCTTGTTGGTCCATTAGCCTCAGTCCCATTTTCACTGTTTACCTTCTTAAATAAAGTCTTAATGGCAGTGATCGGGTGAGTAGGCTGAGTAACAACATAGTATAGTATATTAGAAGGTTGCTGATAGCCATCGGACTTGGTGTTTGCTTGTCCCTGCACAGATTATGTTTTGTTTTTTTTTATTTCTTTTTGTTCCCTGTTAAATTTATTTTACTGATGTAGTTGAAAAAAAAAAACTTGGTATGTTTTCTTTTTATATTAAATTTTTGTGAACTTATATTACCTCTTTATTAATGAAAGGAAATTGATATTTAACGCCTATATTTTATGTTAGGTTATATTTTAACTGATCTTTTAGAAATCGTTTTACTTCGAACAGAAGAGTATTTGTGTGAAGTTATGGATGATTATAAAATTGAGTAGTTGTGTATTTATGAACTTGCTTCTTTATTTTCACTGATTTGTATTTGTATATGATAATATGAAATCTAATTTAAGTATGTCAAATACTTTTTTTCTTGACTTTATATATATATATTGACATATTTTTACAAATTTTGTTAATATTTTTTAACTTTTGATTTAAATTATCAGTATGCATTGACATATATAAAAATCATGTAGAAAAATAAACTTTTTTTGGCTTTTATTTGCATTTTCTAATTTTAAAATTTCATATCATTATCTATAATTAGTTATCCAAGTACATTTTCTGATCATAAAATTATTTGTTTAAAAAATTATTTATATTCAATATTAAAGATTAAAACAACAAACTAATAATATGTGTGTGTATCTATGTATGTGGATAAAATACTATAATGTTAACAACTTTCTTCGAAAATTTGGCCTCCCACATACTTGTTGCTCGCTCCGTCCCTGCTCAGTCCCATCCCCACTGTACATGTTGAATGCCCTGTTTTATAAGATTTTTTGTTTTAATTAGCACTTTTGAGGCATGATTATAGACCCTTTTATGCTATCTATTTAACATCCTTCAAACATACTTGAACGACATTCAGGTGAATTTTCTGTTTTCATGTAATTGGGTGCGTGAATGAATTTCATCTGTTGAAGAATGATTGGTATGATTATTGACTTGCTTTTGGGATGGATTTATGAAATGTGCCCACCCTCTGCAGTGAAATTACACCCAAAAAAAAAAAATTGGGTTTCCTTTCTATATTTTTACTTTGTTTTGTTTTGTTTCAGCTGCTTTTCCGAGAGTGGCCAAATGTACTTTCACTCTTGGCGGGTTTGATTGCCATCAAGACGTTGATAATAACAGCAATAGGTCCTCGTGTGGGGCTTACATTGCAAGAAAGTGTAAGAATAGGATTGCTACTATCCCAAGGGGGTGAGTTTGGATTTGTTGTTTTCTCTTTAGCAAATGGGTGAGTAACGATTCAACTGAATGGCCTCTGATGTCATTGAATAAAGATTATTAAATCTTATGTTAATTAAAAAAAATATTTCTGACTTCTTGGATGCAGCCTTGGGGTACTGCCGCTTGAGCTCAACAAGCTTCTCATTATTGTTGTTGTATTGTCAATGGCATTAACCCCTTTTCTTAATGAGGCTGGAAGAAGAGCTGCTGAATTTATTGATGCCAAGTTTGATACTGAAATGTATGTTGTTATACCATAATACATAGTTTGAAAGTTATGCACACACATAACAGTTCATGCATAACATGATTATCAGTAGGCATGTTGGGTCACTGTAGTAGTTGAAATAGAATGTACATGAGCAATGTAGTTTGTAGATACAAAATGGCTAGGTAAAAAAAATTGAAGATATTATGGTACAAAAAGAAGAAATAGTGTCATCAATGTGAATCAATACATGACGGTGAAATGAGTCTTGCGGCTTCCTGCTAGCATTGCAATGCTTTGTTTTCATTATAGATACCTATTTCTAGAAGAATATGTGGCAGTCTTAGTCTACTTAATGCCATTTTTCACTGCAAGTTAACATTGGCTAAGTACAAAGTCATCTACAGAAAGCTCCTGCGGAGATTAATTTCAATGCTAGCGAACCTGTTGTAATCCTTGGATTTGGGCAAACGGGTCAGGTAGATCAATTAATACATTGTAAGATCTGTCATTTATGTGAGCTGTATTCTAAATTTTCTCCTTTTGATTCTGATATGGAGGTCCTTGCCAATTTCCTGTCCATGCCATTAGCTTCAGGAGGAGATAGTGACACAGAAGGATGGCCTTATGTGGCTTTTGATCTTGACCCAACAGTGGTAAAGGTCAGTGTATTTGAATGCTGTGTATGCCTTTTATCTATTTCGTGTATGGAAACGTCTTTCTCTATTCTTTTAAAGAAGAAGTTTAATTTCTTTCTTTCTTTCTGTATACTGTTATATTTGATTTTTTAAAATATTCTTTGGAATATAATGCTCCTAGAATTTCCTTACAATGATATTGATTTTTTTTATGTCCAATAACATTCTTTAGCACCTTCCCCAAGACATGATATATGAAGACAAGCTTCTTGTTTTTTTTGCCCCTTTTATTAGTGCTATTCTTTATATATAATTTTGCACATATTGCATTAGTTTTTTCTTCTTCCACCCTCCTTGCCCCTCACCCCATTTTATTTTTTTCACACATCATGTGCAGAGAATGGGATAACAGAATTATAAGTTGCGTTTGACCCTTCTTGTTGTAAATTTGTAATCTTCCTTCTATTTAATGTACTTTTTTTAATCATTGATTTGCTTGGCAGGCGGCCAGAAAACTTGGTTTCCCCACTCTCTATGGGGACGGCTCACGTCCAGCTGTTCTTCAATCTGCTGGCATCTCTTCACCAAAGGCTATCATGGTGATGTACACTGGGAAGAAGAGGGCAATTGAAGCTGTTCAGCAGCTTCGATATACTTTCCCATCAGTAATAATCTCTTCCCTTTCCTAGTCCATTTTCCCAGTTTAGTTTACGTATGTTCTTGTTGATATATGAAGTAAAGTAATTATGGGATTGCCAATATTCTGGCTTTGATATATGCAATTTCTGTAATATATCCCATTGTCTCCTTTAAAACTTGGACTGAATGCTTGTTTATCTTCATCTGATTTATTTTCTATTCCTTTTTATTTGATTAGTTTTCGTTTTTTTCTTGTAAACTCTCTTCAACTCTCTTTTTGAATCAGAGGAGTTGCTTTACTCATGATGATATTTCATTTGCCAGATCCCAATCTATGCCAGAGCTCAAGATCTCAAGCATCTCTTAGATCTGAAGCAATCAGGTGCAACAGATGCCATTTTGGAAAATGCTGAGGTACTGTGATTGTTTTTAACCCCTCTCTGCTGATATATGTGGCTTCAAACAACCGTCCCTCAATCTTTCTTGGACACTACTAATTATATGTATTTATATCCCTGCAGATAAGCTTACAGCTAGGTTCTAAGCTTTTGAGAGGCCTAGGAATGATGTCTGATGATGTAGCATTTCTAAGTCAGCTCATTCGAGATTCCATGGAGCTACAAGCTCAAGAAGCACTCAACCACTCTGAATATCGTGAATTAGATATACTAAAACCGCTGCAGGTACTCCAAATTTTCTTGAGGAAAAGATTGAAAGAGAATTACATACAAGTCCCGCAAACACAATTAAATAGCGGCATCAGACCTTGTGGTATTAACTGTGTTGTGAGGGACCTTGAAGTAATTCACCCAAAGATTAAACTATATGAGCCTTGTTTGGTATGAAATGAGAATGGAAAAGGGAATAGAAATGAGAGAGGGAGAGGGAATTTATAGTCTAAAACAAGTTTGGTACTGTTGTGAAAGGGAGATGTAATCACGTTTGGCTGAATGAAGGTGCTATGTTTCCTTTTATCTTTTCCCCCCCTTTTTTGAGTGAAGACACTATGTTTCTTTACCTAATTGAGAGGCTCCCCCCCCCCCCCCCAAGTGAGGGAATGGTTATTTCCCAAGGAAACTTGACTGACACACCAAACAAGAGAAAACTTCTTTCCCCTCCCCCATTCCCTTTATCTGCACATGACTTTGGAAGAGTTTTATTTTAACCTCTAACATGTCTTTTCATATGGAAGTGTGAGATGCTTAAAGCCATGGCATCTGTTAGCATCCTAATGGATTACTTAGAAGCCTAATCTATCAATAGAGGTTCATGAATGTTATAATCTCTAATCAAAATGTAAATTTGGCTTGGGTAAAACATGACATGAACGTATGAGCTTAAAGGAACATCTAATCAAGAGATCACGTTGATCATTGAATGTTACTTTTTGCATGTTTTGTTATTGCATTACAATGATTATTGGGCAAAAAAAATGGGAGACAAGACTCTTCCATCATTTTCCTTTGCTCTCAGGCATGATGAATTTGTTATTTCGGGGCTTTCAATTAAAATTTTATTCAACCCCAAAACTACTGAACAATTGTCATGGCCACTTGTTTTTCCTTTTTGAGTTGATTTCTAGATAACCATGACCTATCCTGTATCATCCATCATTCTTGCTTTGTTCAAAATTTTCTTACAATCTTTATGGCCATATTGACATGCTACAATAACAAGAAGCCTTATCCCATTAGTGGGGGGTTGGTTACATAAACTGCATGACGTTATTATGCTCTATCAAATATTGGCATGCTAATATGAGAAAAAAATCCTATATGCTTTTGTTGTAAGGTGAGAGTGGCTGACATGAATGGGATCACGAACCCACATCAACAACTTCCCCAGATTATGAATTTTCAGAATCGAACCAGACTAATCATGCTGTGATGTCTAGAAATCAGATGGAAATAGACTCTGAAGAAGGGGATTATGAACTCAATCAATCAATGACTTCAGAAGGAAATGGCGTTTTGTATGGCAAACAAGGCACTGAAGACAGCATGATGGATAGGCCAGAAGATCCAGGAGAGAAGAATCTAATGGATCTATCAACACCTTGCCATACAGCCATTGAGGAACCCTAATGCTTCTAGGGCTTCTTCCTCCTTGTAATTTTACTTCTCTAACCCAGTAGCTTTGTCTTAAATTCTTTTTGTCAGAGTCTGACATTATATGTATAGGAAGCTTGAGAGTTCTAGGGAGCTTGTTGAACAGGATCTTTAGAGCCCTTCAATTTCAATTCTTTAAAAGCCACATAATGTATAGTTATATAACATGATGAAATTAATTACTTCTGATTACATTGCTTTGTATCACCTAAAATAATTGCATAACAGGCAATCTTTTAGCTATTTTATTTTCCTTGTTAAGAGTTAATTCAGAAACTTCTGATCATTTGTTCTTCGCATTGTGATAGGGTAACTTAGCTTTGAAATAATAAGTTGTTTGGTTGAAGAGGATCCTCAAATGCTTCATGATGAAGTTAGAGGAAAATGGATTTAGAGCATTTTTTTTACAGAAGTATACCATTGTCATTTCTTTTTATACCAATAAAGATGTGATGCAGAAAGAAGGGGCAAAATGTATGTGATGTGTAAATTAACAATAAAATAAGAGATGCATTCGTTGCACTTCTTCAATGAAGTGCTCCTATGGTCTTTTCCTTTTTCTTTTAATAATCAAAATTTTAGGTGAGTGGGAGCTCTGAGGACTCATCAGAATCAGGATATGCCTTTAGCCTCAGTAAATATTTATAAAGATACTTATAACTCACCCGCTAACAAGGTTCTCATATTAGTAATGGGATTTGATCCCATGATCTTATGGATGATGGGTCAAATCCTTGCCTTTGTTATAATATTTCTTTGATCTTTGTTATAAGATAGTTTTGACTATTTTTCTATATTAGTAAAAAAAAATCAATTATACCCTTATTCATATTTTCTTTTAGTGAAAAACATCATAAAATCTTGATTCAAGTCAAAAGAGTAATTATTACAATTTTAAACGTAAGAAAAAAAAATAATTTAATATTTTGACAAAGCACGTTATAAATTAAACTAACTTTATCTTCATGAAAACACTTTCTATATAAGGCCAGAATAAATACATTTAAAAAAAGTGCACAAATTCACATAAAATTAAAGCAGTATGAATAAAAAAGTAGACTTTACTATTATAAGATTCTCATGTGTAGACTTGAGATTTATTATTTAATTCATCTTTATGTAACTTTACCCCTGTGAATTATTCTCAAAATTATGTTCTCATGGAAAATACATTAGAATTTCATGAAAATTTTTAACAAGAATATTTGCCCCTCAATATTGAGATGAAGTCCTTATTTATAGGCTTGATTCTCCTAGTGTTATGTCCACCAAACTCCTATGTGAGTCCTTCTAAAATTCAAATTACAAAACGTCTCAGAACAGGACAAAAGTCAATTTTTAAGACATAAATCAAACACTAAATTGCAAAGACAAACTTCAAATTACAATATGCATAAATAAAAAGAAGCTCTAAATTACAAGGTGCATAAAAACAAAGCCCTAGTTTCAAGAGTTGATGACATACATTCACCTTCTTCCTAGATACCAAATGTTTCATTGGATGTTTTTAACGTTAAAAATGTTTGGTTAAGTTTTGTAGCAATAGGCAATTTACATATGGACTTAGTTTAGCCAAAAAAAAAAAAAAACCCAGCTGTACAAGCATTGACTGAAAATTGGGTTTGTAAAATTAGATTTTAACATCTAAATTGATATTCAAATGGTGACAGATTGTATAGAATGATTAAGATATATTCTCACGAATCATAATAGACTCTTTACATTATGTTATATGAAATAGATGTCAATAATGTACAGGCATCTTATATTATTATTTTTCCAAAGCATCTATTCTACAGCTCATCCCAATACAATTTATTATTCTAAGGCTATAATTTTATTATTATTTTTTTCATCACCTTTTTCTTTTTTTTTAGATAGAAGCCTTGTTGACTTTTGAGAATACTTGTCGAGGATGCTTCAAATAAAATAAAAGGCAAATCAGTTACCATGATGTTTTAATTATAATAATAAATATAAATAAAAAGTCTGCATAAATTATAAATAAATCTTCTGTTAATATCCCATTTGATTCTAAAATAAATTTATGGGGATGAAGCCGAAAATAAATTTTGATACATTACAAGTTATAGTATAATTTCAATTTCAATTATTTGGTTACAAAAAAGAGGGAAAACGCATTAGAAACCTTAGGTAAGGAATTTAATTACTGATAGATCCTCTGTACATATAATTAAAATTCTAACATGGAAATTCTTTATAACTTACCCAAAAAAAGAGTGGATGTTTCATTTCATTTTATATTTGGATCAATCAACATAAATAGTTAAATAATGAATGGGTACAGATGATCTCGGGAAAAAAGAAAAAGAAAAAGAAAAAGAGAGTAGGTACAGATGATAGTAAATAATTGATCATCATTTATAAATAAAAAACATAAATTTACATCTCTATATTTTATTATTGATACTTGTACTTTTTTTTATATGTTTTAAGTTTCTATATTTTTATTTTTTTATTGTTTTAGATCATTTTAAAATACTTACATTTTATTTACGGAGAAATTTAAAATAATAAAAAACAAACATATAGAAACTCAGAAAATAAAAAAAAATGTATGGGCTAATAGTAAAATGCGATCAAAGTGTAGGGAATCAAAATTATATTTTTTCATATATAAATAAAAACTTGTAACCTAATTTTAATGAACATATTTTATTTATTCTTCCCACACATAAGGGAAAGCAAGAAATTAAATTTTAAGAATAAAATTATTAAAATAATAATATATAAAATTTTATTTGATTGAATTGATACTAACATAACATGTTTTTGTTGACTAGAATCTAAATGCTGCTTGGGTAACTTTAAATGTATATTTAAATTACATTTAAAATGTTCTTTTACTAAATCCAGCAAATAATTATATCCTTCAAATGAATTTTTATTAAATATAAAATGAAAATCAAACACCCACTAAATACTAAATAGGAAAATGGCAATCAAGGATTGCTGGAGCAAATTTATTTCAATAAAGAATTAATAATTGTTAAAACTCAAATAAAAAAAACTTGAATAAATTATTATTAATTTAAAATGCGTTATTGTTAAAATTTAAATTGATATTTATTGATAAAAAACTAATCAAACTAACAAGTATTCATTCGAGTTTTTGATAACAAGTAACCCTTAATTAATATAAATTTGTTCCAACAATCCTTAGTTGATATTTTCCCTAATAAATAACATGATGCATTCATCTATGCAAGAATTTCTCTTAAAATTTTTACTTTATATGTATTTTAACTTCATAAATTTATTATTTTATTTTAATATTTCTACACAATCCAAAACCAAAAGAGAATGAAAAGTTAAAAAAATCAATTATTTGATCCTTATAGTTTTAATTCAACTGTAACTAAATTTTTTAACTTTAATTCGTTATAACTTAATCCCTAAAATTTTGACATAGTTCTAAATTAATATCTAAATCTTACCTCTTACAATTAATTTTCTAAAATTTTAACTTTTTAAATACTAATCTCTATATTTTAAAAATTAAATTGCAAAGATTAAAAATATTTTAAAATTTTAATATTTATAAAGATTAAAATAGTTTAATAATTAAAATACTAATAACAAATTTTAAAATATTTTTAATTTTTATAATTTTATTTTTTAAAATATAAAAATTGATATTTAAGAGTTTAAAATTTTAAAAATTAAATTATAAAAAATAAAATTTAAGAACATAATAGAGGACGGAGTCAAAGTTCAGTTTCAATTAAATTAAAATTATAAAGATCAGGTGATTAATTAACGTTAGCACCAGATGTTAGCATCTATTATAGATCCCCTCGACGAGAAAGTCAAGGCAAATACTGAGATGGACCAATCACAATGACACCCAAAACTCTTTGGCCCACAATCCTCGACTCGTTCTGGAAAAAGAAGAATTTCAATGTTCCTGTCGGGAAGAAAGCTATTTGAAGGAAAAGCAAGATAACAGCAAGATAAAGCAGAAGAGAAGACATAAAGAAAGCCAAAAACTCTTTCTTTGAAGGAAAAAGGTAACGAGAAGAAAAAGTTGAGAAAAGCAAAGCCTATGCTCTTTGGAGGAAGAGCTAGCAGCTAGGTGGGCCTCTCGCCACAACACCCCCCCCCCGGGGGGTATCAATTATTGGAGTCACTACTCTCTCAGCTGCTTCAAATTGTAGACTGTAATAGCCCCTTGGGGAAGAAGAAAAACCGAAGCTCTCCTCAGAGCTGAAGTCTTCATTAGAGGCAGAGATGGCAATAGCTTCATCTATGAACCCCACACCTTCATGGTTTACTCCCAAGAGGTAATTCTGCACTTTCCCTAGATCTGTTCTCCAACAGTGTGGGCAGGTGAGGGAGATTTTGCGTTTTTTTTTTTCAATTAAATTTTTTGTTATTTACTTGTGGACAATAAATTATGATTTTGGTGAAGTACAGTACTTATTATTTTGTTTTTGATTGAAATTTAATGGTTTTATGTAAGCGGGTGCGCGCGCGTGTTAACACTAGGTCTCTTTCTTGTGTTTTAGTGAGTTAGAGTTTATATTTTTTGCTTAAAATAATTTTTTCTTTTGCTTGGACATAGCGATATGCAGATATGATATTCTATTTTTCTGATTTTTTGCAGCTAACTAGGAAATTAATCATGAAACCAATGGATGACTTCTTCAGTTCTTTAACAGGCCTTTTGAAGTGTCCCTTCATTGGTGCTTGAAAGAAAATAAAAGGACAAAAGGAATTATTTTTCATAATCAATTATTATTTGTATGTATCATGCTAGTTGTCTCTCTAGAGGTATTACTCAGTTGCATTCATCAAATGGGATAATCTCTGCTCCCAACTGTTGTTAGTGTCCTATGATGACCATTTCAATATAAGAATTGAAGAAGCAACTTCTTTCCTGCTTGTATGAAATTTCATCACATGTGATGTCGTTCTTCTTTCAAATTCTGTTGAAAATGATTTAAATAATCTTTTATTACTTTCAACGAGGAAGGTAACTTTTTCAAACTTCATCACTGAATTTAAAAGCGATTCCATCTCTCTCTCTCTCTCTCTCTCTCTCTCTCTCTCTCTGTTTATTTATTTATTTATTTTTGCAGGTTACTTGTTATGTTTTGTGTGATAAACTTGTTAAACTATTTGGACCGAGGAGCAATAGCTAGCAATGGTGTTAATGGACGTCAAGCAACTTGCGCAAATGGTACCTGTAAGCCCGGTATCGGAATACAGTAAGATATACTTAGAATCCTAGACAGTGGAAATTTCTCATACCTTTTGTCTTTAGCTGTCATCAAGACATCAAAGTCATGCCATGTGTTTGCTGGGTTTTCTTCTTGCTATATTCCTTTACGATTATTCTGTATCCTTCTAGTTAACCAAGAAAAAAAAAAAAAGAATTAAGACAAAAGGTGGGAAGAGATATGGATCAAGGAGGTGAGAGGGAAGGAAAATCAGGCTAGGTGGGGGAAATTCTTATTAACATGAATATAAAGTGAATCTAACTTATTCCTGAGTTGTGGAGTGCCAGAATACTTAAGCTCTACCCGGAATATATTTACAAAACCTAGTTCCACTAGGAACAGAAAACCTAATGCTAGTTAGGCTAGTGTCCTAGTTTTCATGCTTGTAAATATATTTCCAAGGGAAAACTAGTACACTAGCCTAACTAGCATTTACAAATAACAATTTTGTGGCATTTCCTGATTTGTTATTCATGCTTGTCAAAATGCCATGAGAAGCTTAACTGCCAAAGCATACAATTTAGTTCTTTTGTCTGCAAAATAACTGTCCCTGTTGCTTGTGTGAGCTTTTGATGCTAATGTTAAAATTTCCCATGAATTTGGAATTCTATTTTGGAGCACCAGATTTACGAGTTTCAGCTTTTTTTTTTTTTTTTGACAACATAGTTTCTCCTTCTATGTAGGGGGGATTTCAAGCTAAGCAATTTTGAGGATGGAATTTTATCATCTGCTTTTATGGTTGGACTTCTTGTGGCTTCTCCAATATTTGCGTCTCTTACAAAGAGGTAATAGATATTTGTATAACAGTGGTTGACCTTTTTTTGCTATGGTATGTGAGAGTGATTCAAGATTGACTTATGTTATATCGATAGTTTTTTGTGTCAGGGAAATGTAGGAAACATGGATAGTAAGAAAGTAAGACAATCTTTTGAAATTATTTATTTCCACATAAACATGAATAAAACTTATCATAGACATTTATATGATATTCAACTCAAAACTAAGGGGGTGCAGTGTAAGATATCCCAATAGATGCCACATACTGAAAGTCAATTATGTTACGGCTACTTTTTGAAGGACCTTGCATTTCCCCTTTAGTCAATGTACATGGAGATCCTTGGCATTGTGCCAATCAAAGTTAGTCATAAACTCTGGACTGGGAGTTTATTTCCTGCCCAGTGATCCATCTTTGTGCTCAATCTGTTTTGGATTCAGTCATTTGATGCTGGCAATTTTTCTGTTTTATAGCTTCTCCATTTGATGCATATGTATGTTGCAATTTGAGGTTAAAGGGTTCTGATAATTTTTAATCAATCTTCTTGTATTTATAGACCTGCCTTTAATTGTTTTTAGAGAAGTGAGTGTTTTTAGCTTTATTTGTTCAAGTATCGAACCTCTAACGCTTTAGAAGATAATTTATCAATGAACAAAGCTTCAAAAGCGTACGACTGCTTTAGACCAACACTAATTATGGCATCTTTGATGAGTTTAGTTGAGGGAATCCTCTTAGAGTGTTCCACAACTCAACATCTATGATTCTATTTGTTTAAAATGCATATAGAATAAATCTAATGTTGATAATGAAGGTTAGATGATCCATGGATTTGACATTTAACCCATTAAATTGAACGTCCCATATTTAGAGTATTAAACATTATCCAATGGAGAATAGCTTGTTTTTATCTATTAAGTGGGTAAAGCACAAACTTTGATGTGATTGTAAGTTGGCATTAATAACTTATATGCCTATAAAATCTTATGCAATTTTTGTATTTTGTAGTGTAAATCCGTTTAGGCTCATTGGAGTTGGATTGTCTGTCTGGACTCTTGCAACCTTATGCTGTGGTTTCTCATTTAATCTCTGGTCCATTGCAGTCTGTCGCATGTAAGTGATGCATTTCCCACTCATTCCATGTACTTATCAAGTATATGAGTTCTACAGGAATAGATATTAAGATTTCGTTTATTTGTTCCTTATGCTTTGGCTATTCTTCCTAGGCTGGTTGGTGTTGGTGAGGCTTCATTTATAAGTCTTGCAGCACCTTTCATTGATGATGTTGCACCAGTTTCTCAGGTTTATTTTCTCTGTTGGAAGCATCTCCTTATTTCAAATTTGTATAGGCTCTATTGTTTGTCATGCTTATTATGAAGCCCCTATACTTCACCAGAAAACAGCTTGGCTTGCAATATTTTACATGTGTATACCGTCAGGATTTGCAGTTGGCTATGTCTATGGAGGCTTTGTAAGTTTTCCTCTGGTTCTCATGTCATTATTAGATATTACTGACTCATCCTGGGCATGTAACCCACATTTATATGTATCTTTTTATTATTATTATTATTCTAAAATTTTCCTTTCTGATTTGTTATGGAGCAGGTTGGGAGTCATTTTGGTTGGCGGTATGCATTCTGGGTGGAGTCTGTATTGATGCTTCCATTTGTTATTTTTGGATATTTTATGAAGCCTTTGCATTTGAAAGGTGCGCATCTGTCCAGCATTAATTTCTTCTAAGCATTTTATTATTGCTCATCTTTAGACTGATTGTAATGTGGATCCAGGTTTTGCTACTGCTGAATCGAAAACGACACTGGCAACTGAGACAGTTTCATCAGAAGTTCAAGGTGCTTTTTACTAAGTTTTAAGACATATAATCATGCATTATTTGAATGCTGTTTCTTGCTTGTGTGTTAAGAGTACCATGGTCCTATCTTATTGAGAAAAACATCTTCCATTACCCACCATAGACATTGTTCTGCAAATTCACAGCAAATGCATAGTTGCATGTTTTACTCAGCATTTTGTTAATAATTTGAAAATATTGACCAGACTCAGAGTACATTACCAGATTATCATCTGTGGGATATGCTTGCTTTTTTAATTTGGGACATCTAATCCTCCTTGTCATAGTGTTGGAACTTCACCCAATCTGTAACCATGCCGGCCTTGGCTTTGATCAACCCTCTTAATTCCCTGCTAAGTCAGCCTAACCCTCAAGCATAGTCAAGATGATAGAACATAGGAAAGCGAAAAGAGAGTTTAAGTGAACTTGACTTGTATTAACACTTGAATGCTTGAACACTTGAATTCATTGATTACAAATGTGGAGGTATTTTTTGGCGTTCCCCAAGTTTTAGAACACATCAACCTCCTTAATGGATGTTGGAGATCAATTGTATCCAACAGTGTACAATTGTTCTCTAGATTATTCAACCTAGACATTTACAAAGAATCCTCTAGGTACTTTTAAGGACTATAAAATTTTCTAATGTTCCCTATGTAGTACAAGTGATGTCTAGCATATTTATGAATACTCTGGCCTCTTTTGGAAGATTCTAGATGCTTCCTAGCCTTCTTCACCTTTAGAATTGTGAGTCATCACGTCCTTCTCTATAGTTATCTCCGTTCTCAACATAGTCTTAATTTTTTTCTTAATCTATATTTGCACAAAAACCTTGAATTTTCAGTAGACTCTTTGATTAATGATCTGTTTCAGTGAAAGTTTTGCCTCTCAAGTTTCACTTTTCTCCCTTAGGGTTTTGCTATATAAAGATTAATTTACTTCTCTCTTTTTTTTCCATTTTCCTTTCTTTAACACAAGTGGGAAAGGGAAGGAGATTTGCTACATAACAGAAAGTTAGTGAAATGTTTTTTGCTTGCAGTGCTGATTGCCTTGTTTCCACTTCCCGGTTTAGTAGAAGGCACTATCCTTTTATCTTCAGGACTGAATAAATTAGTTTGAATTCTTACCTAATAACCAGAAATATAACATTTAGCTGGAGTAAGTTTTGTTTTTATCAGTTTCTGTCAGATGCACCAAATCTCTATCAATCTGGCCCTAACAAGTTTTACTTGGTTTTAAGATATGGGAGCTTCAAATAACTCAATGTCCTTGAAGGCGTTGTTCCGAAATAGTAGCTCACATGAGGCTTCCAAGTAAGGACACTTGTACTAAATTTATACTGTGTTTTCATTTCATTACATCATTAATGGGCCAATATGATGCCTTCACAAAAAAGTTGCTTTTGCTGATGATGCAACTTGACATTGTGGCTAGAAATCTTTCCTCACAACCAAGTATAATTAACTGAATGTCCTTCTCAAACAACTTTACTTCCTATCATTAATATATGGCATCTTTCAATGTCTTTGTCTGATATCCATCATCATCATGTAGTGGTTGATCTGCACATTGTTATTTTGATATTTCTCTTTTATTGTAGGCCCAAAGCTGCGTCCAGGAAATCAAATCAATTGTTGACTTTTTTGGAAGATATGAAAGTGCTTTTGCTAAACAAGGTTTATGTCATCAATGTCTTAGGTACTGTTTCCTTCTGGTCTTTTATGACTATATGCTTCAAATGTTTTCATCATGCTTTCTTTGTTTTTGTTGGCACAGTCGCATCAGAGCATCTTCTCTATGAATTTATATCTGTGTCTTTCATACAAACCTTATTTAGCAGTCACCTTTTCAGCTTGTCAATTCATTTAATATCCTATTACTGTTATTTTCTCTTTGTAGGTTACATAGCGTACAACTTTGTCATAGGTTCTTACTCATATTGGGGCCCCAAAGCTGGTTATAACATATATCACATGGTTAGCTTTGTCTCTTCTAATGATCATATGTGCACATGATTTTAACAAGGGAAATGCTTACTCCCTCTAGACCTCAATATAACAGCATGTTTGGGAAGGCCAAAAAATTGATTAATTTGGCCAAATAATTGATTTTCATAATAATTACCCAAACAGCCAGAATCTTGATGATTGATTGTTTGAGCCAGAATCATGTTTTGAAGTAAGCTCTGGAAGGTTACTTATAAATTCAATTTTACTATTAAATAATATATTTTACTTCTTAAATAAAGTTGTTAAATTTAATAATGTTAAATACAAATTTATTAATAATTAATTTTGAAAAGCAATGTCCTTTATGGTAATTTGTACAGCTGAAATTAATTTTAGCATCCAAACAGATTGTGTTATAACATAATTAATTATAATTAAAATCAATCATAGTAATTGATTATTTTCATAATCAATTATACTCAACTGAAATCCAAACGGGCCCTAAATCACTTCCTAAATGCATCCTTGGTCTAAAATATAGGGCATTAGAAAAATTTTATGTTTTCCCCATCTATACCCTTGTTTTTTTTTTCATTATTTCTTGTCTCTAAATGTTCCCTATTTAAAGACCATGCATGTGTTATTAGAAAAACTCAAGCATATAAATGGGAAGATGTGAACATTTTTAGGAAAATAAGGATTCAACTAACATTTTTTATAAACCATGAATTAGTTAATAATGACATATATTGTGGTCCAGAGGAAATATATAAACCTTGTTTACTTAGTTTGTTTTCAATCAAATTAAGACGTGTGGTTATTTTTTTATATTATTTATTCTATAACAAACTATTGTTTTAAATATTATTAACACTTTAAAATCCCACTTGTTTTTATTTGATTGGACAAAAGTATATTAAGTATATAATGTTAAGTGTCTAAGTCTTTCCCTTTAAACAATTTTGTTCTTTCTCTCTTTTATGCCTTTTTATTTGCCTAATGTGAGATACATGCCTTGTAGATTAAGATAATTCCAAGTAAAGCATAAAAATATTATTGTATGCTAAAGTCAGGTTCTTATGGCAGACTAATGCAGATATGATATTTGGTGGAATCACAATTGTATGTGGAATATTGGGCACATTAGCAGGTGGCTTTCTTCTGGATTTCATGACTAACACGCTATCAAATGCATTTAAGGTAGATTCTGGCATCTCCTTTTTACCTGTTTATGAGTTTCCAACTGCAGTATTTTTCCCTGTCACTCTGTCAGGCTATTGAGAATTTTTGGTCACTCTAGCCGATGCCTTAAGAAATATGAATGCATGCTCACTGCATATCTCCTGAACATCTCCATGTATCTGAAGATCAATTACATATGGCCTTTTTGATAAAGCAATTTAATGAGGGTTGATTTTTTCATTATTTAGCATGAGTAGGTTTTGTGTTAGGTTGTTCAAGTGTGAGTAGACTTCATAGGTAAAGTTAGGCTTAATAATTAATATAAAATGAAGGAGAATAACCTATAAACTTAAGTCTTTAAGTTTTTGAATTAAAATGTAGTGTCTTTTCACCGCTCTTTGCCCATTTGTTCTCTTCCCTGCTTTCTAGGTAGTTGTTCTCTATTTCTAGCTAGTAGTATCAGAGCCAGGTTTCACCTGGGACTTAAAAAGCCTGTATTGCATGCACATTTGAAGCTCAAAATGAGACTAGCCTTGACTACAATAGGAACTTTTGTATGCCACACTGTTTGAAGTCTAAAAATTAGGTTGGCTTGATTGCGGGAAAAAAGACTTTGGTGTTTGGGGCCTCCTTGAAGGGAAGATTGTGCCATTTAATGAGGGTTGATTTTTTCATTATAGCACTTTTTAGTATGTAGCAACACATTATTAACTCTAAAAAGAAATTCCTCGCCATCTTATGCGTGCTCTGGAGGAAAGAACTTGATAACTAACATGAAACACCTGATAACTGCATCAATGTTTTTTTTCCCATTATAATCTATATGCATAAATAGTCATACCTAAGTTCCACCTAGCATGTTGCTTATATTCCATTGCCCTTTCCTCAATATCACTTTTAAATCTCTTTCAGCTTCTTGCAATGACAACATGTATTGGTGCAACATTTTGCTTTGGTGCATTCCTATTTAAAAGCTTGTATGGCTTCCTTGCTCTTTTTGCTGTTGGTGAAATCCTTGTCTTTGCCACCCAGGTAATGTTCTTCTCTTTGTGAAGGATTTCACTTCTTGTTTGATTGTTTATGAATAATTTAAATTTAGTTTTGTTATTTCACTTTTAACTTAAGCATTTGATCATGAAGCTCCCAAGTTAAGGTGTTATCTGGTGTATGGAAGTTTAATTTCACATTCACTTAGAAGCCTATTTATAAGATGCATGAATTTTGAATTAATAGTTTTGATTCCTTCATACCAAATGCCAAGCAATATTTATATCTTGGTGTGTTTAATGTAACATCATCTTTGAATGATGCAAATTGAATTGAATTCAAACTCTCTTAAGTTTTCTTTGATCTGTTAGTAATATAAATGGTATATTTTCTCAAAAGGTAAGAAGCCAGAAATTTATTTTTCTCTATACTTAATTTTCTTCTGATATATTTTCAGGGTCCTGTGAATTATGTATGTCTGCATTCTGTTGAAACAAGTTTGAGGCCCCTATCAATGGCTATATCAACTGTTGCTATTCATGTCTTTGGAGATGTGCCTTCCTCACCTATTGTTGGAGTTGTTCAGGTCTGTTTTATTTACTTACTTATTTACTGATTATTTCATGAAGATTCAGACCTTGATAACTACTTTTTCTTCCGCCTAAACTATCCTAGTTAAACTTGTTTTTAGGGTTTATTTATTTATTTACTGACGTTCGCTGTCTTTTTTAGTTTCCTTTTTAAACTTGAGTTGTCATGTGGGAAATCTTTTGGGAAGTTGATGTCCCAAATATTCCCTTTTCCATGTTTTTTAGTAGTGGAAAACACTTATCTTCAATTCTTTGCAGTACTAAAAGTCTAAAACCATGAAAGATGAATATTGAAAACACTAGAGATGACTATTGACAATGTGGAAGATGAGTACTGGAAAATTCAATCAGAAATTTTTTTGATCCCAAGTAAGGATCATGGTCTTTTTCTGAAGCTTCATAATTTTAGGGTCCTTAACATTATTAATGTTCTTCGAATGTCTTTAAACGTCTAATAATAATGAGAAATATAAAGGCCTAAATAGAATCTGGACCTTTCAGATGCTATCTGTTCAAATCACATGTTTGTCCGCTTTTTGCAGCAAAGTTGGGTCCAAAACGAAGATACAATTACCTACCTCACACATATTAAGAAATTTGGTTCAATTTTTAGTTTTTTTTTCCTCATTGAATGTATTTCAAATTAATATTTTTCCCTAGTTTTCCTTGATGATTAATGAACCTAATGTTAACTGTTATATGTGCTCTTTCTTTCTCTTTGCTTGTTAAGTTCCAAAATTTGATTAGAGTTATATGTGGAAAACTAGCATTTAATGATATAGAGGTGACTTATATTGTGAATCCTAGAATTTTTTTTTCTTTTCTTTTTTTTTTTAAATGACTTATATCTAAGACAGACGTTAGCAGCATATAAGGATTGTGAAGTTTGAGGTCACAAAAGTATTTTAATGTTAGTGTCTCATATGTGCTGGTAAAACAGGATCATATCAACAACTGGAGGACAACTGCTCTGCTTCTAACTGCTGTATTTTTTCCGGCAGCTGGATTCTGGTTTATAGGTAACTTACATGTTAATCTATCCATGTGCTTTCGCACCAACAATCCTGCACTACAATTATTCCATCGACAAATGTTTGAACATGATGTTGCTTCAAGGCATTTGTACGATATTGTTTGTTTCATTTCACTTACAAGTTCCTACTACTGCAACAACAAAAACGTTTATTGTCTATATTCATATGAGATTCGACAAAGTTTTATGTTGGCTGTTGAGAGTTTAACATAATCCTCTTTCTTTATGTGGACTTGGAACTAGTTACAAACATAGGCAGAGTTTTCCTACTGCTGCATTAAACACAAAAAAAAAAAAAAAATCTTGAATTCCATGATATATTTTACTTTATTATCCTATAAATTAGTACTTTTACAAGTATTAGGACATGAACACAAATTTAAAGGAAGAGCCCATTCTAAAAAGCTAACCTATTAAGTGAGAGAGCCTCTTACACTTGCAAATCTCACTCCATTTATGAGGTTCTTCAACGTAGGGTTCATGGTGTATTGGTGCTTCAAACTTCTTTAGGACTCATGATATTAGTGCTTCAAACTTCTTTAAGGTTGTTTTATGCAAGGAACACAGTTTCTGGACAGCATGATGAGAACATGATCCATGTTATGTCCTGGCAGGAATATTCTTACGTGGCAAAGACAAATTTAATGAAGATAGCGAGAATGTAATATTTTCTGGAGAACCCTCAAATACGCCGTTGCTTCGAGTGAAGCCTGGAGAAGCAGTAGCAATAGAAGTAGCATCAAAATCTAAATCCCCTGAATGTTAATATTCTGAGATGATTATAGAAGCAATGTCCAAGAGGCAAAATTTGTGAAGATCAGAGGAAGGGTATCAATGCCTTGTAAATAGTCTTTGCTTTTGCTTCTCTGCTTTGTTTGTTTTCTTGGTGGGGAGATATGGCAGTGAATGTAAGTAATAGTTATGTGATTATATTTGGTTGATGATTTTGAGTTGCTTAACTTTAACCAAACTGTATCTGTATATCTCAACAACTAGTAGTTTGATATATATATATATATATATATATAGCTGAAGCTGATGTTATTTTGTTAGTAGGGAGAGTACGTGTTTCATAAATACAAATGAAACAGAATATACCTTTTTTTTTTTCTGCCAAAAGAGACATGAAAAAAGTACATTAGATTTATGATGTGTTTAGATGAAGAGAGATGATGATAGGAAGAAAGTGAGGGGCGAAAATCAATGAAAAGAATATTGAAGAAAATAGTTTATACTAAGCTTGAATGAAAAGTGAAAACAGAGAAAATAAAATGACTAATTTTACTATGACAATTATGCTCGCATGAAAAAGCAATAAGCTTTTAAGAAAACATGTGAGCCACTTAGCTTAGCTCTAATGAACAAAAATTATGGGGCAATTTTTTAAAAAATGTGTTTTCTTCTAAAATAAAATCTCTCCACAGCTTATTACAGAAACAACATTTAGGTGGTTTTTAAATATGGATTTGAATTTTATATTTAAAGTTCATGTATTTAAAAATCTTTATTTGAAGAGTGTAAAAAATTTAAAAGAAAAGAGCTATGATTTAAGGCAAAAATAGATGATTAACAAGAAAATAACAAGCAGATTGAAGTCAAATGACTACGTTAAAAAAGAAATTTAAAATTAAAAAATAAATCAATTATAAATTCATAGCTTTTTATATATTTAAATGGAACATTTAATTGAAATACAAATTAAAATCCTTATTAATCCAAAGACTGCAAAAAAAAAAAAAAAAAATCCAAACACAATGTATTACCGATTCAAATTAGGTTTAGTGGAAATGATTAGTTTCTTACAAGAGAAAAACTTGTGTATTTAATAAATTTTGTATATTTATTCTATAATAAATTCTTGTTATTAATGTTATTAACATATTAAAATTCACTTGTCTTGTTATCAATGTTATTAACACATTAAAATTCATTTGTTTTGATTGAAAACAAGTATATTAAATTTATAAAGTTAATTATGCAAGTCTTGTCCTCACAATGCATCAAATAAAAACAAAATACCCACATCTAATACCCACTTATATCTCAAACACGGCCACATCTGACACCCAATTATATTATTTATTCTGATTTTTTGGAGGCTCTCTTCCCTCGTTAAAAACAATTTTTTCTCCCATAGCCTCTGCCATTATCAATAACACCAAGAATTTCACATGAAAGCAAATCAATACGCCAACCCCTACACAACTTTTCCCGCTAATCTGTATTTTACAAAAGCCAACCATATCTTAAAACAAAAATAGTTCAGATAAGAAAACGCCCAAGCGTCATAAGAACACATGTACAAAATATTTGGGACTAGGAATTGTGAGAGGTTCCTAAAGAAGAACCCCTCTCCAAAAATAGGCGTATGCCGCTTTAAGCAACGAGCACACGGTATTCTTTAGTAAAAGGCGAAAGAATAGTTCGCTCTGCGCTCATTGCACGGCTCCGTGAATTTGAAACGAACGAGAGGTGGCATTATATAGTCCTCCCACAGCTGCCTCTTGTTCATATTATCACGATGTGGGACTTTTTAATGTCCACAAATTGAAAATGTCCATTTGATAGACCCGGGGCCATCACTTCAAGTTCAACCACTGTTGTTGTTGTTACTTTGTTTCTGCTTTTATTTTTTTAAAAGTATTCTAATTATTATTTATTTATGTTTCAATCCTCCGAAGGAGTATGTTAATATATGATTAACTTTCCTTTAGTGCCATCGAAAATTAGTCATGTCTCTAACTTAAGAAAAAGAATCACTCTAGTGGATTAACAAATGCTCTGACCCGTGTGATATGTCCCGATTTTATTGTGTTTTTGGAATTCAACTCATTTCCATCTTTTGAAATAACATGATGTAACTTTATAACATTTGTTGTGTTGCATACTTGTCTATGAACATAACAGAAAAAAAACTCGCCAATAGTTGGCCATAATGCAGAAATTCTGGAGAGAATTATGCGTAGTTTCTGTTTGAGTGACAATATTTTGTTTTATCATATTAATTTAGTATATATTTTGAATTGTCACATGAAATCCCAGGTGTTATTCATTTAAAGCTGGTGTTGGGTTTAGCAAAATTACAAAAGAAGCTAGCCCCTTACAATATGATAAACTAAAGTTTGAAATTCTCATTACAAAAAATATTTGATCGTGCCTTGAATGTAATTGCTTTTTAAAAAGAATCATGAGGTATTGATGGGTCTTTATACATCAGAACTGGATAATAGGTTTGTTTGGACATTGTAATTGTAAATTTTCCTTTACAACAAGTCACACTAATAAATAAAAATTGGTTCAGTCAGTAAGGATTTGGACTATAATCCACAAACTCCTAGATTTAAATCTCACTACTAATGTGATGACCTTGTTAGCAGGTGATTTGTAAGTAAATCTATAAGTACTCTTTGAACCAGAGGTATACTTTGCCCTTGGTAAACCCCAAGACTCAACTCATTTAAATTTTTTTATACAAAAAAAGAAATCACTGCACTATCCGATAGGTGATTAGTTTAACCAATTAAAAGAATTAAATTATCAAATGCATTCTCTTAATATCTATGAGTTTGCCATCAGTAATAACAGCCCCAAACAAGGATTTGAATTAGTCTACGTGGGTAGTGAATAGTAATAATATCAGATTGGGGATAAAGGTCACACTACATTACACTCAAAGGGAGTGATGTAATTCTTATAAATTTTAAGTAATATTTATACATGGGTAAAAATTTGATAAATTCTAATCCTACCAAGGACTATAAACCTATTTTTATATAATAAATAAATAAATAAAATTATTCAATAAATTTGTGCACCAAATAACAAATAAAGCGAGAAGTCTAATCATGTGAACTTTAGTTCAATAGTCCAACTTCTAAAAATTTTGCAGTAAGATGTGCTGTTTTGCTAACAGACAGGCCTAAATATGTTGAACTCTTCAAATTAAGCAATTTTATTCTGCATGAACAAGAAAGCAAGATGGGGTTCAAAATTATTATTGAGAAATTATAGTCAAGATGATGTTGACGGAATCGTCAGATGCCATTCTTTACCACAAGAGAGGGACCAGTTAAAGCATGCTTGATTTCACATTGAAAGCCATCAAAATCATAGTCTTGGTTTGGATTAAAGATGAATAAGATATGTGTATATACTGTGCATGATATAGAGGCAATAATTCGAACCAATTTAAATAAACCTAGAGACATACTCACATTGAGTAAAGGGGGGCAAGTGCCCCCACTAAATTATTAAAAATTTCACGTACTTCCTTGTTTTTTTTCTTGGTTTTCGAAGATTTTAAGGATGATACTAGCTTCCTGACAGTGGTGAGAATCAAAGACGGCTTTGTCAGAGTCATTGTCTTTTGTTAAAAGTTCTTGACCAGCGATACTTGCATCCTTCAAAGCTTCAATCTTTAATTAATATCTATTGTCATTTACATGATACTGTTTGGGTGGTTCAACATAGTGGGAGTTACTTTGTTCTGTTTTATTTATAATGAAGAGGATTTGAAGGTTATTCAAGAACTCGGAGCATGGTTACTTCAAGGTTTTTCTTTACCAGTTCATCCATGGGAGGCCAATTTGCGGATTGCTACTTCTTTAATAAGTTTTCCGTTTGGATTGAAGTTTTTGGTCTGCCGCTTGGCTATTTCACCGAAGATACTGCAAGGTGTTTTTGGCAACATGATAGGTTTCTTTGCTTTCTTTAAGTTTTTCCTCATTTCAAATCATACGGGATCCTTTTTCAAACTGACTTGTGGACCAGTTTTTAAATTGGTTACTTTTCTCGTCTGTGCGAGTTTCAAAAATTGTCATCTACATGCTCGAAAATATTGTATGCAAGGTCAAATCTGGGTTCTTTCCTGTGCTCGTTGTCTGTTGCCGGACTGCTTTCACGGACTTCTGGTTTTTAAGAATTCAGTTCTTCGTAATCGTTTTCCCTTCTCACACATATCGGCCAAATTTTAAAAGAAAAACCAAAAAGAAGGTGAAGAAACTTCGGGACTAAGAATTGCGAGAGGTTTCTAAGAAGAAACCCTCTCCAAAAATTGGCGTATGCCGCTTTAAACAACGAGCACACGGTATTCTTTAGTAAAAGGCGAAAGAATAGTTCGCTCTGTGTTCATTGCACGGCTCCGTGGATGTAACCGAGCGAAAGGTGGCTTTATATAGTTCTCTCATACCTGGCTCTTCTTTGATATTCTCACGATGTGGGACTTTTTAATGTCCACAAACTCAATCTCCAACGCACATTCTTTCAAGTTTGAATTGACAGACAACTTTCACCTCTCTCCTTGTTGTTACTTCGTTTCTGCTTTTTCTTAAAAAAATTATTATTATTTCTTAAATATAATGTAATGATTAATGAGAATAACTAAAGTCTAGGCTTAGAAATGAATGCAATCATAAGTCATCTTTGCTTATTAGAATAAAATAAATGAAATAAAATGAATTAAAAAAATTAAAATAAAAATGAACTGAATTATCATTCTCCCATGTTAAACATAATAAAACTATTAATATATATTAAAAATGTGAAATTATTACACCTCTAAAAATCACATGAATCATAATTCCAACTCTATAAATTAAATTACTTCTTATGAATGTGCTCATATATTTTCTTTGATCATCTTATTTTTCTCTTTATTTTTTCAATCCATTTCATTCCATTCTATTCTAATAAACAGACATGACCTAAATTTATTTTTTATGTATTTTAACTCTTAAACAATTACACTCATAGCAATATAAAGCTTGTTTGACAACCTATTTTAGGAATATTTTTTTGTTCTCTAGAACAAAAAAAAATTATTTAATAACATGTTTTTAAAAAATGTTTTGAAGGATAAAAAATCAAATATTATTCTAGAGAATAGAAAAAAAAATATCTTTTAAGTGTTGTAGAATTATTGTCTTGAAGAATAAGAGAAAATATAAAAAACCTCTTGTTTTTTTTAAACATATTTTACAAAATAACAATTTTCAAAACAATAAAATAAAAATAATTTCAAATAAATTCATTGAGCAACTGTTAATTTGAAGTTAACAACATTATCAGTTTATAGTTTAGAGTTCAAATTGTCTTCTAACCCATGATTTTAGCTAATGTATTTTTTCATGGTTGAATCCTTTTGTTAATGAATGATTAACTTTGCTTCAGTGCGATTGGAAATTTGTCTTGTGGCCTCACTAAGAAAAAGTATCACTGTAAAGGATTAACAAATGCTTTGAGCTAAGTGATATGTCCAGTCGAAGCTCAACTTATCTAAAAACCTTTTAAAATCACATCTAGCTATAAAACATTTGTTATAGCTTGTCCATGAAAATAAAAGATAAAGATGGCTAACAGTTGGCAATTATGCAAAAATTTTGGAGAGAATTTTGCAGAGTTTATGGACTTGTTTGATTTAGTTCCTATTTTTTATTTTTAAAAAACTATTTTGTAAATCAATTTTTAAAATTATTTAAAAAAAGAAAATGTGTTTAATTATATTAATTTAAAGAATTTTATAGCTAAAAAATTGGTAAACACCAATGGTTAATGTAATTTATAATAGTTAAATGTCACAATGTACTTTGAAAATAAACCAAAAAAAATTCTGAGATGCTTTCATTTTTTTTATTTTTAAAAAATAAAAAATGTAAACAATTTTAAAAACATTTAAATTTTAAACACTTTCCCTAACAATATTTTTATTTTTAAAATAAAAAATAATTTTTAGAAACAGAAATCGAACATGCGAATATTTCTTGGTAACAACATTTTGTTTTTAATATATATTTCAAATATCAAAGATTATTTAATTAAATAATAGATTTTAAAATCCCTCAAGTTAAAAGTCAATAATATTGTGTTCGGATTAATAGATTTTAACTAAACCCCTCATTTAAATATATAAAAGTTATAGCATCCAAATCTAAATCCATATTATATTATTAAGTTCTTTCTAATTTCAAATTCTTTCTATATTCTAAATATTTAAAATTTCAATCATTTTAATACTTTCATTCTTTTTCCGTTTTCATTGTCAGTTATATCACTCTCGCCTCTTCTCTTAACTCCCATTCTGGTCTCTTGCTCACTCAAGAATAGAGGTAAACTCATCATTCTGAATGTTTCATTTTTTTACTTTAAATCTTAACTTGTCTCTCTTTTTTCTTTGAAATTTTTTATCCAAACAAAAAAATTTAAAACATGCAATTTATTTTTTAATGTCTGCTAGTTGAGTACCAGTCATACAGCTAAGAAGTTTAATCAGCAATTTCAGATTAGCACCATCTAGTTTCCATCCCAAGAGAATGAAAAATGATATGGGGAAAAAATTGTCCAACGCTCCATGACAAAACATGGATAAGATTATATATACATGGAACTAAAAACTAGGACCAAAAAAGCACTGATATAATAAAATAAAACAGATAGATATATCCAGAAAGTTCAACAGAAGAAGAGTTGGTGAAATCATAACATGGGGAACAGAGTTCCAAAGAATGAAAGCAGTAGCAGCACCAGCAATGACGACTCCATCAAATGCCAATTCATCATCTTACACAAGTGATAGCTCACCTGCAGGAATGGATCTCTTGATAAGTTTGTTCCAAGAATCGTTGGTTTCCGCGATGACCTTTAGAGCATAAGCCTGTTTTATCACATTCAAAGTTCATGATGCGATCAGACAAGATGAGGATATAATCATACAATAGATAATACAATGTCCTGAGAGATAGTAGTCACAATCCATTACTAGACATGCATCTCTAAATTATCTTTCTTTGGTTTATTACAGACAGAAACCACAGCTTGATCCTCAAAAAATGATGTTATTTTGATGGGTACCCCCAAATGAGATGGAGAGCCCTATTCCAAAAGCTAGCTATTAAGATGGAAAAACTAACCCATTTAAATAACCTATTGAGCATCCCATACTACTTAATGTACCTATGACACTTAACTCAGCCTTCTATCTGTTAGGTAGCCCTCTCCAGAAATGTTAACAGCCTTGCTCTAATGCTAATTGATGGGTATTCAAGTGGGGTAGCGTTCCAAAAGTTAGCTGTTGAGGTGGGTCAACCTACTTAAATAGCCTATTGAGCATCCCATATTACCCCATGTGGGATTTGGTTCCCATACTACAGAGTCTCCATCAAATTCTCATTTTGATGCTGTCAAGAATAGTAAAGTGCTGAAAGATTAAGGCCGCGCTTGGTTATCAAGAAAGTTCAGCAGCCTGCTCATCTTCATGCTTAGAAAGGCAACGCACATTGCTATTGAATAAAATTTGAAAATAGGACCTTTACACAGATTGTGAGGACTGGGAAAAGATCTAAAAAGAAGTCAATATTAAAACCTACTAGTGATCCTTTCCCCAGCAAAACTGAGGTAAATTTTCAATGTATGTATATGGGTCATAAAAATGGCATGAGACAACTCTAGTGAGCGCTATATTGACTTCTTAAGCCAAAAAAAAAAAAAAATCAAGTTTCAAAGGAAACCAACATGATCACTCACCTACCAAAGCATGTTCTTGAATACCAAAGTACAAACAAGGGTCCTATAAAGGATTAACATCCGTAGGGCCAAAAACGATTTTGTTTATTTTATCTTTCCAAATTTATTCTTTATTAGTAAGGTGAATGTCAATATATATATATATATATATATTCCACTTATTTGTTATCTTCCCCCTAAAAACCAAGCAAATTGCATCATCCATATATTTCATGCTTTTCAATATATGATTTACAGAGTTTGACTACGTACTAGTGGAAACAAAATAGAATATAACTAGCGCCTTGAATTATGCTGTTTGCAAGCAACATGAGAGCCATCAAATTATTCAAGAAGGTAAGCTGCTAATCTTTGCTAAACTTGAAAAATAGAAAGATAGTATTTCACAGATAGTCAGATACTTGTGTTATAACATAAGAGTAACAAAAATACCTTATTTGCTGGCTTGTTGCCCAGCCCAAATTTATTAGCAGGTTTTCCATCAGGTATCTTGTAGTCTCTGAACCAGTCCCTAATTGCAGTGAGCGTGCCCTGAAGACAACTCCCAGATTAATGACCAACCAAAATTGCATATTAAAGCACCAATTAAGCATTACAACCAGTTTCTCCCCTTTTCCCTTGTTATTGGCGGCATTGAAATAAGTGTTCCGGCAACAAGTTTATTCTGGATGAATGCAACGTTAATAAATTGCTCCTGCTAAACTTGATGACAATGTTTTGCCCTATTCTAATAAAATCCCAAATATCTATGGTTCAAGAGATATTGTTTACTCAAAACTTAGTTTCCTGGTATGCAACAATGGTATTAGTTGACAGGCAGAAGTAATAGCGTGCCACAGCATTTCAATTAAGAGACTGTAAACATTATGATAGAGCTCGTGATTTCTCTAAGACTTATAAGAGGAGAGTGCAGAAGAAGAATGACTCATATGGAAAGGGATTGACTAGTCAAGATGATTATCCCTTGGTCCATGGCCGTATGGAACAGTGAACCATGATCTTGTGTTATGATTAGTATCTTTTGGACAACAAGAGCTAGGAAAAGGCCATACTGTGAGTTTATAAGTCTTTTGTTTGTTTTGGGAGGGGGTGTCTTTTTGGTGAGATTGGTGAGGAGAGACTGCCCTCTCGAACGCCAGAAGGGGGGAACTCACTTTTGTGAGGTTTGTATCTTGTGTCGCTGTTACTATTGTGATCAATTAGGAGAGATAGGGTTTTGGCTAGAATCAGAGGAAGTCCTTGTAACTCTGATTCGGTTTCTCTCATTTGAATGAAAAACCTCAGCATTTTCCCCTCATCTATTGTTGCTACTGTTTTTATTGTTGTTTTTTGTTGAGATACTGGTTTGGGTTCTATTACATTAAGAGGATGCAATGATCCTATTGATTTATTAAAAAATAAAATAAAATAAAAGCAGACACACACACGCATGGAATTGTTATGGTCCTCATCAAGGACCATAAAATCACCTTCTGAATAAGGCTGGTCCATATGCTCCACGAAAGCAAAACTAAGTTCAAAATTAGAGTTTATTATTTGAAAAGCACATTACTAAGCTTGTTTAACTATATTTTTCTTCTCCTATGCAAATAACAATAATAATGATAATAAATACTTTCTTCAAATACAGACTCTTGAAAAAGAGGCGCCGAAGTGACACATCTTCCTTCTATTAAAATATCTTGAGATTTGCCATACTGAAATCAAATCATTTAAAGCTCCCATTGATAGAGCCCTTGCAGTGAAAAATACAAGGGACATCATGCTACATTTGACCATGAAACTATTTCTTTCCTTTCTAAAATTCAGGTAAATAGAATATCATACATAAAGTTGTTTTGATCTCATCAAGACAGGGTTCTAGTCTTTCACTGTATCTTTTTTATTGGCTCTCCTTTGCTGCTTTTCTTTTTCCCTTTTCCCTTTTTTTTATTCTCCTTAATGCCAGATGTGTACAAGTTGTACTCGAGTATTTGAAATGGAAGGTAGCTGCATAAAATCTGTGTTTTCCTTTCTTTTTGAGCATGGACTTGGTACTGCACTTCCAATTATCAAAAGTGAAGGCTTGCGATGTTGAGCTAGGTGGTGAGCGGTGACACATGAATATAATACCCAAACCTAAATATCAACTGATCAGACTACATAAATAAAATAGTAAATCATACGTAAAAGATACTCAGAGTTCTCCACATAGATTTCTTCTTCTTATTTTTCCCAAACTGTCTAGAGGATTTATTCTCGTTCAATACTTTCTACTCATATTTTACCACATCGACAATATATATACATGTGTGTGTGTGGCATAATGAAGAGAGTATTATATCTCCATCAGATAGTAGAAAGAGCAAAGGACAAGAAACAATGCTTCATATGTTACAATAGTAAAAACAAAATGGCAGAGAAAACCATCAAGTTAGGTAAGCACTTACTGGAAAATGCTTCTCAACATCATCAACATCATTCACAAGGGAAGCCATTGGATCATCCAATGAAATTGCAACTATTTTCCAATCAAGTTCTCCTTCATCAATCATCGCCAAAGCAGCCAAGGGTTTCACCTTGAGAACCTCACCTATTTTCCTCCGGCTTTCACCAATCTCAACCACATCAACTACATATTGAGAAGAATTTTAGACCCTTTTTGCTATGGTCCGCTAACAATAATGCGGAAAAAATAAGAGTTTGAAGTCATAAGTAATGCAATACCAGGATCATTATCTCCAAATGCACCTTCAACTTCAGAATTTGCATGAGATGGGTCTTCCCATGTTTGTGGAAGCAAGCCATAGTTCCAATTTATGTTATAGCTGGAGATCATGCAAAACATGTTATCGAACAGATTAGGCAGACACTGAACAATTCTAGCAACATTAAAAAAAAAAAGAAGTTTTAAAAGAAAGAAATAATAATCCTAAGACCCAATGGATGAGGACTCAACAACACTACAAAAATAGGCATAATAACATGAAGAATATGGCATCTTAGGACTCAGGAAATGTATTAAAGATGGGCAATGAGTCGCAAATTTTTCAAACAGATTCATGGCCATAAATAGGAAAAAATAAAATATGCAACAGGACGTTTACATTGCCACTGAACCCTCGATGAGGCTAAAGATAAATTCTCAGTTGGATTAGAAAAAGATAATGTTGACAGTTGAAATGGTGCATAGTTGCATAGTTAAGATCTAGCTACATTGACTGATTGATGCAATTCTCTTCAACAAAAAAGTTGAGAAGAATTTTCTAAAGAATATTTCTTTTGGATGTATTTACAAGAAACGAACACAGCTATTTATAGGCCTAGAGCAAAAGAGAATTTACAACAATCTCCATGAGAGTACAGATATTCAAAAAAAAATCTGAAATAAATAAAATAAAAGGAAATATCAGGAAGTACACACTCGTTAATATACTTTCCAGTTTGATTTTGTTAACTGGAATTCAATTTTCTCATAGAATGTTCTTTGTTTCTCTCCCCCCCCCCTTTTTTTTGTGTTAATTCAGAACCAGTAATGGTAATTCCTTCTTCTTCTGCTTCTTGGATCAGATGAGAATAAAGGTACTTATACAATGACTATATATCAACAAGGAATTTTACAATCAGTAAGGCTTGTTAAACCAATTTAACCCATAAACATATGCCACTTTAAGGTCAATAAAATCTTCACAAAGCAGATTGTAAAGTGCCAAGTCAAAGAAAAACTGCACCAGAAAAGAGGAAAAGTATGAGCAATCAAGCTACTCCTTCCAGACTCATTTATAAGGAACATTTTAGAAGGTCTAGTTGGTCCTATTTATAAGTCACAGTGTGGTTTTTTAGGTAATATTTGAAAAGTGTTTCAAAATTACCCTTCATAAGAGAGAAAAAGTAACATAACATTACTTTTTGAAGTTGTTATAGAGGGGCATATTTAGAATTTTATACACCTTTATTCCTTGTACTTTTTTTGCATTGGTATTGATAAAGTTGATAGAAATGACTAATAAAGAGGACCGGAGAAGTATATCTTACGGATAATATCGAAGCTTTCCCTTTTTTGTATCCTGCTTAATAGGAGTGAATGGCTCGTCAGTAGCAACCTCCATCTTCGCACTAGATTCTTTTGGTATTTCAACAATGAAGTTAAAGACATCAGTACCTAACTGCAATGGAATGTCATGCCAGGGAGAAACCTGCATTGTACAGCATGAATTTTAGTAGGTACATGTAAAACTGTACACGCAACAATAGCTCTCAATTGTCACGAGAAGCACATATAGTAGGAAACTCATACAACAGAACTCTGATTTCTGAACTCTACTCTATAGAAACATTATCTTTTCAGGCGAACAACACTATCAATCCAGAAGTTACTCAAAGAAAAACACAAATGAAACGTTGTCCTCCAGTTCCCTGACTTTACCCTGCAACTAAGAAAAACTGGTAGCCTCGTGGGAAACATCCGAGTAGAAATTTGGACGAGACACCTAACGTTAGCCCATGAATTTGTTGGGTAGAGGGAGCATCATTGAAGGGGAAGAGTTCAACTAGAAAACATATAAGTGAGTTCAACGCTACATCTTAGCCTAAAAACACAATGCAATAACTTCACCGATTATTCTATTTATCTACCTCTTCTTCATCCCAACTCTATGCAATGTGGGACTAGAGTACACTGAAACAATAGAATTGACCAAGTTAAAACCAGCATTTTAAAAACTGGGTTTCCCTAACAACCCTACAAGGTTGAACAAGAAGAAGAAACTACCCTAAACACACAAACAAACCAAAAACAATGCTTTCTGATTCCAGATTCACGGTGGCTTCAATTTATCAAACATAAAAGCTACATCCACCACCCTGGTCATTTCAATCCAAATGTAAGAGAAGTATTAAGCATGAACCGGTGATCTATTCAACATATAATCCACTTTCTTTCTCTCTTACTAATCGAATACTCCCCGATTAAATACAAAATCACCCCAGAAATTTCATGACACAAAATCACAAATTTAAAATTACAGAACAGACAATATAAAAGAAAACAAAAAATTCAGAGCACAACATCCCATTTCAAAGATTCTAAGCGTTCCGAAACAACTAAAAATAATAAAAACCCAGTAATTAGTTGCCCATTTGTCCCAACACCAAAAACAATGAACAGAACGAAGGATACAAGGAGCGAAATCAATCAACCTTCTTCCCAGATTTATCAACGAAGAAAACTCTATAATCTAATGTTTCAGGCTGGCCTTCCTCCTTGACCTGAACCTCGGGTTTGTAGATAGCCCGGCAGGTGTAAGACCTCTTGGGAGATGGACAACGAAGCTTAAGGTTCTTGAGGCAAAGGCTATCAACAAAGGGTTTTTGCCTCTGCAAAAATGGGGCTTTTGAAAGCAAAGTGCACGTAGAGTTGCTGGCTATGGTTATCGCTCTAGTGGCCGCCATGATTGCTCGCTGATGCTACTTCAGTTTCTCTCTGACTTGGAGCCTGTGAGGCTGTGACTTCCTTATTTTTGCTGATAGCCTGATAGGCTCCCCTTTTATATTTTCCCCGGAGTGAAATGCTTTTATTATTATTATTATTTTTATAAATAATAATAATATTTTTAAAATATATAAATAATAATTAAACCTTTTAAAACATTTAATTTTTAAAATTTTTAAAAATTTTCTATCATTAATAAATTTATATAATTATTAAATTATTTTTATTAAAAATAAATATTTATAATTTTTTCTTCTTACATCATAACTTTTTTTTTATTTATGATAATACAATAATAAATAAAAAATTTAATATATACTTATAATTTACTATATTTAAAAAATTATAATATAAAAAAAAGTTGTAAATTATATATTTTTAACCAGAATCTTTAATAATTTATATAAATTTATTAATAATAAAAATTCTTAAAAACTTTATAAATTAAACAACATTTTAAATAATTAAATTATCATTTATAATATTTTAAAAAAATTTATTATTTTTTTATTATTATTGTACCTTTTTCGACTTTATGGTTGAGATAAAATGTGGTATCAATTATTATATAAGCTAATTTATTTATTCTTTTCGTAGACACGCGAGTGTTTTCCATTTTCCTTTCATATGTTATGTATAAATATTGATAAAATATAAGTATCATTGTACAAGTTTTTACTTTCCATTATTCATCAATCTTAAATAAAAATTAGCTTTAACTATTTCATTGTAATTAAAAAAATTGGTTGTCTTGTTAAATTGATATGGATATTAAAGAAATTTTATCACCTTACAGAAACAAGAAAGGCTTATTTCCCCAAAAAAACATAAAAATACCCAAATAATTTATGTAAAATAACATATATTGAAAATCATAAACTATGACTTAAACAAAAATCCGAAGAAAATATTGTGCAAATTATAATAACTTAACAAGCCTAAATCCTAATCTATAAATTTATAAATATCTAAATTCATTGTACCAAAAAATATCTAATTTTACATTTGTGTCAGAGAGAGATACCAATACAGATGCATTGACATTCATTCAAGTCACTTCAATGTATATATATAATTAGTGTTAATACATTGTTATTTTTTATATTTTCAATTTAAATTTTTGAAAAAAAAAAGCATATCCTCCTAAATAGGGGCATAATGCAAATAAACGTTGGACAAGTGTTTTAGCTAAAAACATTAAACTAATTAATGTAAATAAAATTAAATAACCTGAATATGTCCACCTTAAAATGTAAGATAACATACTTAGTCTTGAACACAAAGGATATATAAATAATTTTTTATTAATACAAACAGTATTAAAAATTAAAACTTAAATAGAGTGAGTAACATATTTTTATTTTACAATTTTTAAATAAAATTTTATAGACAGTATCCTGAGATGGAAATGATTTTTTTTAAAAAGAAGGAACATGTTTTATAATTTTATATTTTTGTTATACGTATTTCATAGTGTTAGAGAAGATCATAGTGTCATACTTTTCAATAACAGACTATTAATTATTTTTAATAGAGGAATCAATGTCTTTAAACTACTATCTTTAAACTATTCAACGCAAACTGGGTTTATGTTTTTAAAAAAAAATTAAAAATTTTCACTAAATTTTTCTACAATAAGATTTGGTTCTTGGTGCCATAGTACACATTTCTTCAAACTATACTTAAATTCTAAAAGCTCTTTTCTTTACATGAATATTCAATGACCCACTTAGTTAAAAGCATATTCCCATATTATTTATTTAAATAAAAAATGAATTTTGCAAATATATAAATGAATAAGAAGAAATAAATCTCAAAAAGTTTAATTTATACACTGAAATACAGTATAGAGAGAAGTTGAGGAGGCAGAATGGGCCATAATAAAGGTAATTCGTTAAATGTAATTAGTTAAAACAAAGTTATCCTAGTTTATTGTGATATTATCGATGAGAA